GATCCCTACAAAAATAAACTTGTCGAAATATTGAAGATCCTTTACATTGTCATAATAAAAACACTACTTCTTAAATACTTTTGAACTTCAAATGCCTTCTAATACTTATCATAGAATATGAACAGTACCTAATGTACCTAATCTATATTACAGAATAGATCACTGCTATTTCATACACCTGCAAATATCTATTAAAATATTTTTGGTTTAATTATTCTTGTATATTAGAATGTAAGTGCACTACTTTGAACTATCAAAAGCTGCATTTAATTTGTGTTGAGCTGCAGATGGTGGGAGCACATATTGGGAATTGTTGAATTTATTCGTGACAAATAACTGTTTAGCATATAGCTATATTTTGATCTCTTTGAGACCGTATGCTTCAATGGAAGATACAGGTACTTATGCTGATGATATTCTGATCTTAATTAAGCTAGTACTATTCTTGGTGCATGTGAAAGGCGTCATTTTTTCCGGAAGATGTTAAGCAGGGACCTATTACGAACCATAGTCTCGACAGATGATACTACATCTGTGTGGAGGGTTATCAGTCCACGTTTGTTAGCTTAAGTTGGAATGGTGACCTTACATACCAAGCCACATTTGAGCACAAATAATGACCTGTTGTGAAACCACTAACAAAAATTATGCTTACACGTCAGATCAAGAAGACTACTAGAAACAGTATATAGATTATTGTCCTCAAGTGTTAAAAAAACACTATAACAAAGTATAACTTTTACCTTTACGCTCCTGACACTTACCTTCTGATCAAATTCCCGCGCTTATCCAATAGGTAAATTTTTTTTATTTTCACGCTTGCAACACTATTATACGCATTCTGTTAAAGTGTTAAAATTTATCAAAGTTTTTTTATAATGGATCAAAAATTAGAACAACGTGCGTGCATCAAATTTTGTGTTGCAAATTGATTCAAGTGTGCCGAAACTGTTAAAAAATCTTATAAAAGGCCTTTGGTGATTTGTGTGTGTCGCAACCACGAGTAACCAATGGTTTAAAAGCTTCAAAAACGGTAATACAAACTTGAATCATGATGAGATCCCTGGCCGCCCAACAACTTCTGTTACTGAAAAAAACATTGAATCGGCAAAGCAGATCGTGTTGGAAAATCGTTGTGAACCGATTAGAGAGATTGCAGTGTTGTTGGGCTTCTCATATGGATCGGTCGAACACATTTTAACTGATGTTTTGGGTTTGAAACGCGTCGCTTCTCGGTTGCTGGCAAAAAAGCTGAATTTCATTCAAAAAAATCCACAGTTTTTGGCCGAAAACTCCACCAATATCATCAACTAAGCACCGTACTATCCAGATATGGCCCCGTGTGACTTTTTCCTCTTCCTCCGACTCATATTGCCATTGCGAGGAATGCGTTTTGAGACCAGAGAGGCCATAAGGTAAAAATCGCCACACGAAAATACTTCGAGTTCTTTGTATAGACGCCAAACAAAAACTAATCGTACGATTGTGTTAAACTTTGAAAGAATGTGTATAATAGTGTTGCCAACGTGAAAATAAAAAAAATTTACCGATTGGATAAGCGCGAGAATTCAAAAATTAAAAATTAAAGTTCTTTTTTGATCGCAAGGTATAATAACAATAGTAATATTGTTAAAAAAAAGTTATTTGGTCGTCTATATACTATAAGCAATATACCAAAAATATAATTTAATATTAAATAATATTAAAAAAATATAAAATAATATAAAAAATATAATATACAGTGGACGTCCAATATAACGAATTTTATGTTGCACCCCTTGTTCGTTATATCGAAAAATTCGTAATATCGAATGTTATACATTTACCTACCAATATGGTTATTTTTAGGAGATTTCATATATTTGAGTTCATAAATTAACTTTTAAACACGTACGAGTATATATTTATTTAAAAGTATTTTTTATTCGGTTGTTACAAAAATTATTTATAAGAAAGGACGCATTCAATCATAGTGTAGAGTAAAAAAAATCATTAATTTTTGTTTGTTTTTTACTACACTCAAGACTTTTCTGAACAGCTTTTTCTTGTAGTTCTCTTAGTACAGCTAATTTTGAAGTTTCATTATTGTTAATCGCCCACTTTATGCATTTTTCGAAATGATTTATGGCATCTTTATGTTTAATAATTTCTAAATTATTTTCTTCTATATTTTCGTCATCAGATCCATCATCCTCGTCCGAGACATCGATGGTATTATCAGCATTATTCCATTTATTAACTTCGTATGTACTAATGTCACACTAACAATAAAATTGAAAATATAATATAGGATATTTAAGCATAATTGTATTCTTTGTTACATTAGGAAAAACATTTTGAAGTAATGTAATGGTTGTTTCAGTTACATTATCATTCGTTCGTGGTATAAGCTGAGCCAAAGGTATATCGTCCTCTTCATCGAACTCAATAGAATTAAATGACAAAATATTAGCCCAACACTTTTTGATAAGATCTTCTGACAATTTTTGCCAAGCAAATGACAAAAGGGAAACTGCATCATAAATATTAACTTGTTTTAGAGCGCTTGAAATATTGTCACAACCTTCAGCCACAATTTTGCTCAAAAGACTATTGCGATAGTGTAACTTAACAAGCCGTATAACGTTTTGATCCATTGGTTGTAGCAACGGAGTGACATTAGGTGTCAAAAATATTGTCGATATTGTTCCATCTTCAGTAACTTTTATCAACTCTTTTTCAGCTGGATGACTTGGCGTATTTTGTATATGATAAACTGAATTTGTGAACAACAGATCAGTGGCGCCTGCATATATGCATTTTGCCATATATAGGCATTTTTCTCAGAAAAAAAAACGGACAATTACATGCATATTCTAAGCTGAGTAATGCTAGTTTTATAGTAAAATTATATTCAAAAGCATAATTTGTATAAAACAAAAACGAATAAGAAACAAAAAATTTTTTGTTCGTAATATGGAGCAGAATTTTTTTTTTCGTTCGTTATATAGAACAATCAATGTAAATATTTTGGGTGTTCGTTATATCGAAAATTCGTAATATCGAGCGTTCGTTATACTGGACGACCACTGTAATAATATTTTTTATATTTTTTTTTTAATAAAAATTTTATAGAAACATTTGTCAACAGAGATTTTTTATGTTTTTGTATTTCATTGAAACAAAAAAGTCGGAGCCCACTTTGAGGTGAAGGTATTTTTTTAGTGGTAGTTACCACTAGTTTAGTGGTAGCAATTAAAAATATTTCAATATTAAAATAATATTTATATAATCATTTTGCAATCAAATTTTTAATCTTTCAACAATTTAATTATTTCTATAGAAATCCTATCAGAAACTGATAATTGTTACATGAATGAAATATTTTTATTTAAACATTCAATGACTACCACTAGTGGGGCTAGTACAGTACAGTGGTGGGTTCGTGTCGATAATACGCAATCTAAGCTGTTATCTTGTATACTCGTTGTTATTTTATGTATATTAATAAATAAAATAATTGATTAAGAAACTACAAAAGTATTATCAACATGAAATAATAAATAAAACGTATAGAAATTATTAATTTTTTATTGACGAAGAATTCCCAGAACTATGTTTAGCTCTCCTCGTTTCTTCTTCGATAACCACATAAATGCAAAATTGTGGCGGCACGTTTATTTTGATTTTCATCAAGTTAAAATTTGTTGTCAAAGTATGCGACAAACGTGCTACGTCAGACATTACGAATCGTGAAAACTTTGCTCATCCCCCGCCGCCTTTAAAATTGCTCGTATATTATTTTGTAAGCCAGCCCAGCCATACATGTAAAATCTGAAATGCCGGTCAAACAAGTTTTATCTAAAAAAAAAAGTTTTGTTTTTTTTATTTTTTTATCCCGTTTTTATACATCATTCGTATATTGGCAATATATTTATTTTCAATACTGTTTTTCTTGTTGTATTTTTTTTTATTTTGTTGCATTTTCTTTTAGATTTTAATTCGTTAATTTAGTTTAGTCACTTTGTGTTCATGCGCAATGTTTATAGCGGGCAACCTAGAGTCCACACGTTTTTGTTTTTGTTTTTGCTATTTTGTGTTTTGGCATTTATTTTACAACTTTCCTACAAAATACTATTCTTCTTTGTTTGTTTGTTTTGCATTGTCTTTCAGGTTTATCGCTTTCCGCTTGGTTTCTTCATTCATTGAGGTCGAGAATGGTGACGTTCGTTGAGGAGAATAATAATTATACATATTTAATTTCATTTATTTATTTATTTATTTATTTATTTTTATTGTGTGTGAGGTCGGTTGGTATAAATCTTTAATTTTTTTATTTTTTTATATCTTTATATTTGTAGTTTTTTTTATTTAGTTTGCGCCTTGATTCATGATAAGTTTTCTTTATTAATATAAACGCAGTAATAATATAGCATGCATTTGCAAAAATATTTTCTGCTTAGATTTTTATTTGTAAATAAACCGTTTTGTTTATTTTTCCTAAGCATTCAGTAATGAAGGAAGCATTTAGTTTCTGAGAAGACTAAAGAGAAGTGTATTACGTCTACGATATAATTTTAAAATAACATAGCAACAATAATAATATTGTGAAATTCTCTATTAAGTTAAAAAAGTCCCATCAAAGTCATTGTTTATAATGTGTCATAAGGATTTTTATATGTTTGAAATAAATTATTAAAAAAATATTGAGTTGAATTATGTATAAATATTGTTATGAATTGTAATACATATAAATATTGAGTCTAATTTTTTTTTTTAATTTTACATTCTTAATAATGTTTATTATTTCTTTTACAGACGCATTGGAATGACATGGCATGTTCTTATTTAGAACTTTTATAGGAAATTTTTCTAACAACTTCGAATTGGAAATTCGAAGATATTAAAATTACATCCCAAACAACATAACCTCCTTAGTTAAGACAAGTGAAAAGTGTTGAAAAAAAAAAAATTTTAAACTTATACGTAGAAAATATAAAAATTTAAATTGTGTAATATAATCAAAAATTAAAGCAAAACAATAAAAAAAAAATTGTTACAAGACTTACTTAAACAAATCTAAAAATCTAAAAATGACAACAGATACCCGCCGGCGTGTTAAATTATATGCGCTCAACGCGGAACGGCAATGGGATGATCGTGGTACGGGGCATGTGTCATCTAATTACGTAGATCGCCTTAAAGGTAAAGTCCATTTTTTCTTCTCATTCTTTTAATATAACTATTAATATTAATTACTAATTGTAAACATAATTTTTAATTCAAAATAGGAATATCATTGTTAGTACGAGCCGAATCAGATGGTTCTTTGTTATTGGAAAGTAAAATACAACCTGATACTGCCTATCAGAAACAACAAGACACACTTATTGTGTGGTCTGAAGGTGATAATTTTGATTTGGCATTAAGTTTTCAAGAAAAAGCCGGTTGCGATGAGATATGGGAAAAAATTTGTCAGGTATATACCATTTTTTTAAGCTTATCTGTGTAAAAAATGCGGAATAATTTAATAAAAAAAAAAAAAAATTATTTAACATTAACATTTTTCATCAACCCTTCGAGTCGAACATAATCATAACAGCATTTGACCAAATTTTCCACATGTTTTGTCTATATGATGAGAGGTATGACCTTCAACTTTTTTATGAAAATGTCTGTCTCAAAATGGTTATGTTGGATGACAAGTGTGCTTTGTCGATCATACTTAGTTGTGTTTGTTTTTGTCAAAAACTCCTATACAACGTTTGCAATGTGCCAGCGCAGAATACTCAAAATTGTAACTTTGAAAAACAGCTGGCATAAGCTTATTGACTAATAGATCACGGTTACATCCTGTATGTAGAGTCACGTGCTATCAAGCTACAGAATAAAAATTGTACCAATGTTGTTATTGTTGTAACCCGCCGGGACCTGAAAGCAGATAACATGAAAGGATTACAAGACGAATACATAAAAATTGTACCAATAATCTTTAACGCATATTTTTAAATTATAAATTCCGTATAATTTTACACAGAATATATTGATATCAACATAAAATAATAGAATAAATATTATTCTTTTCTAACAGGTTCAAGGGAAAGATCCATCTGTTGAAATTACACAAGATATTGTTGAAGAATCAGAAGATGAACGTTTTGAAGATATGTCTGACACTGCACCGCCAATAGAATTGCCTCCTTGTGAACTTGCACGTCTTGAAGATATTTCTGAAACTATACAAAGTTGTTTAACCACACCACTGCGTAAAGAAAAATTATCTATGGCATTAGAATCAGAGAATTATATAAAGAAATTATTAAATCTCTTTCATGTTTGTGAAGATTTGGAAAATACAGAGGGTTTACATCATCTCTTTGAAATTTTTAAAAATATATTTTTATTAAATAAAAATGCCCTCTTTGAAATAATGTTTGCCGAAGACACTATATTTGATGTGGTTGGTTGTTTGGAATATGATCCAAGTGCTACTCAACCCAAAAAACACCGTCAGTATTTAAAACAGTGGGCTAAGTTCCGTGAAGCAGTTCCGATTAAGAATCAAGATCTGCTCGCTAAAATACATCAAACGTTCCGAGTACAGTATATTCAAGATATAATTCTACCTACACCATCTGTTTTCGTTGAAGACAATATGTTAAATACACTTTCCAGTTTTATATTCTTCAATAAAGTTGAGATTGTTACGTTAATACAAGAGGATGAGCGATTATTGGTTGATATGTTTAATCTATTAACTGATCCCAATACGACCGATGCAAAGCGTCGAGATATTGTTTTATTTCTGAAGGAATTTTGCAACTATGCACAAAATTTGCAACCTCCAGGAAAAGATTCTTTTTACAAGTCTCTAACTTGTTTGGGTATTTTACAAGCGCTCGAGATAACACTTATGATGCGCGATCAAAAAACAAAATCAGCATCTATTGATATACTGACAGCTATTGTGGAATTTTCTCCCCTTGTAGTGCGGAATTATACACTACAACAAGTTAATCGCACTGAAGGAGTATGTATATATTATAAACATATAAATAGTATGCATTAAAAATATTTTTTGTTTAATTTAGGATCGAATGCTTCTTAACATTGCCATCGAACAAATGTTGACTGATTCCGAACCTGAACTAGGTGTGGCGGTGCAATTAATGGGTATAATTAAAATTTTATTAGAACCCGAAAATATGCTAACTGAAAAAGGAGATTTTCTGAATTTCTTTTATAAGCATAGTATACAAACACTAATTGGTAAATAGCAATAAATATTTTTTTAATTAGTTTTTTATATTAACATATTTTTATCTTTGAAGCACCATTGTTATTAAATACAATTGGAGAACGCCCTCAAAGTGATGACTATCAAACTGCTCAACTGCTGGGAATTGTCCTAGATATATTGTCATTCTGCGTTGAGCATCATACTTATCATATTAAAAATTTTATTATACAAAAAGATCTCCTTAAAAGGATACTTGTCCTTATGAAGAGTAGACATACGTTCCTTGTGCTTGGTGCGCTCAGACTTCTAAGGAAAATAATTGCTCTAAAGGATGAGTTTTACAATAGGTAAGTTAGGGCAAGCATTTTAAGTCATTTATGTAACTATTTCTTTCTATATATTTATATTGTGTATTTACTTGTATATTTTTATATTTATTTTATTTATTTGTATTGTTTTTTTATTTGTTTTAATTATTTGTGTTGTTTTTTTAATATTTATTTGTGTTTTTAAATTTTATTTGTATTTATGTTTATTTGTATATTTTTATATTTATTTGTGCATTTATATATTTAAATGTTTGCATTTTTATTTTTTATATTGCATTTATTTGTATTTTGTACACATATATATTTCATATTCATTTATATTGTCTATATTAGTATATTGTCTATATATTAGTATTTTATTGTACAAATACAAATTGTTTTTAGGTACATTTGCATTTTTAATTTTTTTGTTTATGCTCATATTTATGCCTGTATAATTATTTGTTTACATTTTGTAATATTTTTATATTTTATATACGTATTTTAAATTATATTTTTTCGTATTTTTATTTTATTTTTTTATAGAATGTTTGTATTGTATGTTATTTTTTTATAGAATTGTATCTTTATATATTAATTTTTATTTTTATATTAATTTTTATTTTTATATTAATTTTTATATTTATTTTTATATTTATTTTTATATTTATATTTATTTTTTTATAATGACATGTTATTTTAATATATGTTGGTTCGTGTTTTTTCATATTATTTTTATACTAATTTTTATTTAATATATTTTCTTTTAATTGGTTTTTTTTATATTTATTTGTTTTGTTTTTTATTTATGCATATTTTTTACATTATTTTGTAGTTTTTTATATACATAAAATTTTTATTTGTTAATTTTTTGCATTTATTTATATTTATTTATATTTATTTATATTTATTTATATTTATTTATATTTATTTATATTTATTTATATTTATATTTATTTTTATTTTATTTATTTATATTTATTAATTTATTTATATTTATTTTATATTTATTTATATTTATTTATATTTATTTATATTTATTTATATTTATTTATATTTATATTTATATTTATTTATATTTATTTATATTTATTTATTTTATTTATATTTATTTATATTTATTTATATTTATTTATATTTATTTATATTTATTTATATTTATTTATATTTATTTATAATAACTTATTGTATAAATATTTTGCAGACATATTGTAAAAGGTAATCTGTTTGCACCGGTCGTTGATGCTTTCATAAGGAATAATGGAAGATATAATTTACTCGAATCTGCTATTTTGGAATTATTTGAGTTTATAAAACTTGAAGATATAAAAACTTTATGTGTTTATTTTGTTGAGAACTTCAGTAAAATATTTGATGAAATCGAATATGTACAAACATTTAAATACTTAAAGAATCGATATGATCAGTATCAGGATAGAATAAAGGATCGCGATAAGATGTCGCTCGATTCGTAAGTTTTCTTCTTTGAATTCTTTATAGTAAGTTTTTGTAATCTAATAATATTTTAACATTATAGAAGCGGTGGTATACCAATTATACGTGGTGGTCGTTTTAGACGCGATCAGCGACAAATGGAAGAGGAGGAAGAAATGTGGTTTAATGAAGAGGAAGATTTTGCTGAGGAATTAGACACATATAACAACGTAATGAAATGTAAGATTTAAAAAAAAATCCTCTTAAAATATAATTATAAAATAAATATTATAATTAATATTATAAATATTATGATTAATATTATAAATATTATAATTAATATTTTAAATAAATAAATTAATATTATTATATAATAATAATTAAAATTATTTCAAATATTTTATACTAATACGAAAAAACTAATGTTGAACTTGACTTATTATTAATGTTATATTTTTAATTGTATTGTTTATAAAGTTTTATATATTTAAATTCTGATTTTCTATATATTGACTGGGTAATATCTTATTTTTTTGTAGTTTTTTCATTTCATATATTTTTGTGACTATATTTTATTTTTTTGTAGTTTTTTCATTTCATATATTTTTGTGACTATATTTTATTTTTAATTTTGTATTTTTATATTTTTTTACTTTTATGTTTTTTGTATTTATTTTTTTTTTTTATATTTTAATAATTTTTTTTAGGTACATTTTTTTTTAAATTTCATTTTAATTATAATTTTAATTTATTAAATTTAACATTCTATGATGTAATACTTTTTCCAAAATTTTAAATATATGTACAAATAACTTTCAGTAGTTTTTTAGTCAATATATAATTAAAATATTAGTCATATATATAATTATATAAATATATAATCTTAATCCTATAATTTTTATAATTATAGCTGTAACCGACAAAAACGCGCAACAATCTCCACAACAAACACAATTGCAAAAGTCGCCTCCACAAAATTCGCAACAAGTTCATGGCATTTTAAGTAATAATACCAATAACAATTTAAATTCCACGACGGCATCTCCAACGCTTTCACCTACTGGTGGTGGTAATGTAGGAGGCGGTGATATAAATAGTGCTACCAGCGCTGAACAAAAGACCCAACAAGCAGCCGCGCATTTGGGAGCGGTTGCAACTGTTACCGCCGCTGGTATAGCATTACAGCAGCAACATCCGTTACATAGTTTCCAACAACAACAACAATTGAGTTTAAATGGTTCAATATTAGCTGCAACCTCAAATCCTGGAACGAATATCGAGTCGCAACAGCAACAACCAAGTGAAATTGGTGATTTACAAGAACAGTTAAGTGTTGTTGAACAGCAACAAGAAGATTTAACAATTTCCAGTGGAAATTCAGCATCCGTCTCTCCATCGACTGCATCCTCATTGTCTGAGTCGGCAGCAGCCGTAGCCGCTGCTGCATCACAAATTCTAACATCAATAGCGTCAACAATAGGCGCAACAGCATCAACAGTAGCAGCAGCAGCAAGTGCTAATGTAGTTGCTTCTTTAAGCTTAAAAAGTGAAGATGAAGAAAATAGTGAAAGCAATGAAGAAAAGCCGAATGCACCTTCAGTAGTGTTAAATGAAAGCGCAATCAAGAAGGTAAAATTAATGTAATATATATTATATAAAATAATTATTCACTATATTAAAAATATTAGGGGCTCGTTGATTATGAGAGCGATTCTGGTGAAGAGGACGATTATGAGGAAGAAGAGGATGAGATACCACATCAGAAGAAACCACGTCTGGTATAGCAAAATTATACGAAAAATGTAGCAGCTGCTGCTGTTGTAGCTGCAGAATCCATTATGAAAACATTTGCAACAATGTCTTCAACATATTACAACAACAGAAATAGAAACCACAACAGTAAATAACTTTTTTTAATTAAAAAAAATAGTGCAGCGAAAAAGATAATAATTTTTTTTGCATGAAATTTCGTTCACCAAGCACACAGTAATTTTACTTTATAATATAAAAATAAGGTAACTTATTAATTTGGAAACTTATAATGCAAATTAATTTGCATTATTTTTAACCATATAAGTAAGAAAAAAACATTTTTACAAGATACGAAGAAGTGAGGAAACAAAAAAAAAAAAACAAAACAATACCAAATTTGGTCTGGTATATGTTCTTTTCCACAATATATATATAAAAATAATAATATTCAATGTTATAAAAAAAAACCAACAAACAAAAATCAAATATTAAAATTATAAAAAAACTACAGTATAAAATATGAACAGACTAAAAATAAAATTTTTTTAATTAAAAAAAAAATGAAAACGCGTTCACAGGCATTGTGAAAATGTTTAAATTTTTTAGTGTTAAATAATTCAGACACAAATATGTCGCTAAATATTGGTAGCAGAATTGTGAAGCATTGTAATTAAAAATTAATTTAAAATTTTTAATAAATATATATAAAAAATTTTTGACTGCATTAAAGAAAAAACATTAATAGTTCTTACAAAAATAATATGTAAAATTACATACAAATAATAGTATAAAATAGTAAAATATAAAATAATTTTCTTAATAAAATCAATAAAAAGTGAAAATAAATTTGAATTTATTTTTTACTTTTATTCATTTTCTTAAAATAAATTTTTTTAAAAAAATTTTATTTATTCTTATTTTAATTTAATTTGTTTTTTTGAAAAATTTAATTTATTTTTACTTTGTTCTTATTTTACTGTTTCAAATTTGTTAATAAAAATTTAGCGATTTATTTATGTTACTATAAATTAACTAAAATAATTGTATAAAAATTGCTTAGAAATTAACGATTGTAAAATTTTTTTTTAGTTTATCTCATTTCTTCATATCATATACAAATCAAATACAAAGTAAAATTGTAAAATGATATTTAAACATACATTTATAAACACAGAAATTTATTACAAATTTTTCCCAATGTTTTCGTATATTTTTGTAAAATATAGGAAATGTATTATGCTTAAGTAATATAAAATAAATTCTAAATAACCTAACATATTAAAAAATGAAAACGAAACATCATTCATTGAAATATTTAATATAAATGAAACATAACAAAATAAATAATTATTAGGTATGAATATTAATTTAGGACATTATAGTTTCTGTCGTAAAGGTTTTTCTTAATTAAAACTAAGTTAGTTTTATAATTTTTTTTATATATATTTCACTCACTGTAAACAGAAATTAAAAATTTAAGTTATAAATACATAATTATACATTCTCTTGTATATACATAATTTCAGAGAGAATTAAGCAAAAGTTGCCGTAGATTTTAGTAGCTAATACCTGCGGTTTCTTTTTCAATACACAATATATAAATAAATACATATATATAAAAATAAAAACCAACGGAATCAAATCAATTAAAAGAAGTAAACAATGAAAGGAAAATTTAAAATTGCGTTAAATAGATTTTTATATGTTATATATAAATTATATATATATATAGATATATATATATACCTATATATTCTATTCACATTAAGTTTTTAATTTTTAATTAACAGAAAATAAAAATGAAGGAAAAATATCAGTAAAACCATTTTATGCTTCCTTTGCATGTATTTTATATATATTTTTTAATTAAGGCTTATTTTTGCTAATAATTATAAGTCTAGTTTTATATTAGGAACTATATGGCATGTTTTCACAAAACAATATTACTAAGAACTCATGTATACATAAACGAATGTATAAGAAAACAGAAACAAATACTTTATTTTCATTTATGATTTAATTTTTTGTATTTTATTACGATTAAGCCTACGACTTACTTCATAAATTATAATAAAAGATCTAAATTATAAATTTAAATATAAACTAAATAATAGTTTTTAATAGTTTTAAACGAAAAAACATTGTTTTATTTAAATAATATGAGATAGTTTTTCAATTATAAATAAAATTTAATGGTAATAGTTGGGGGCATGCATACCTGAAATTGTAGAAAATTATAAATTTCTTAAGAAAAATTTGTAAATAGGCATTGTATTATATTTAGCTATTAGCAACAGTATCATCTGTAAGATCTACTGAGATGTTCAGAAATGATCGAACTTATAAACATTTAAATATTAAATACATGTATGTATGTAGCATTCGATAGAGTATATGCAAAAACCTTGAAAATATTCGAAATGTATTATTACTTTTCTTCGCTTTCTTACTACCTCTGGGGTTGGAGGAGGATGATGAAGAGGAATCACTAACACACCTTCTGCTACAGTGTCCTGCCTTCGCAAGACATAGACTATCCTACTTAGGGTCGCATTTTTTCTATTCACTAAGAGAGCTAGATTCTATTTCCATAGCTCGTGTCAATGGCTTTGTAGCCAATACCAAGTGGTTATAGGGACAGGTGTCAAATTCTTTAGGGTATCACAATGGACCTCATGGTCTAAGTGAGTCTTTGGACGGCCCCAGTAACCTAACCTACTACCTTTGACAAGAGAAATTAAAACAGTTACAGTAGGAGAAGCGTTGTAACCTCAAAATAATGAATAAATATACAAATATAAACACTGAAAATAGTGAAGACTGATCTAAACCCGGAAAATATGTTATTCTGTTTATCCGTTTATTACATAAATTTAGTATTGTTTATCCTTTATTAGGTTTTGTTTGGTGTTGTAACTCATTTACGAACTCAGTTTGTCCAGTCACGATTAAAATACATTTGCGGGAATTGGTCGTCTGAAAAGAAGAGGTATTTCTGATGTTGACATGTTGGGAGAAACTCTATCAAAATATGAGATATTCGTTAGCTGATTATATCGTCTTAACATCATCTATTTGATAATGTTGTAATTCTTTTCTTATAATGCATTGGACAGAAGTAGAGATGTTTGATGGTTTCTTCTTCCTCCTTATCAGACTAACTGTTATAATATCCATTACATGGAATAATCATTTTTAAGACAATTAGGCGTATTGGAGAGGTGTAGTGATGAGGTTTTAAATTTTATTTCTTCGCATTAAAAGTAACTTTTGCAACGTTTAATGTGCCATACAGTTAGGGTTCTGTGTCAAGTAGTGGTATTATAACAGATACATAGGATATAAGTGAGTTGTTAAATTTTATTACTTCCACAGCAGTCTGAACTTTAATAATTTCACTTAAGCATAATCCGCCTGGATTCTATTGTTGACAAATACATTATTTTGTAACACATTTCAGACTACAAGTACGTAGGTTACTAAGGGAGCCTTAATATGTATGTTTTTGGAAGAAGTTGAGTAGAGTTTCCTTGTCTGATTACCTATTTTTAACTATGATTACTATTTTAGGTTTACTATCAGACACGACATCTTATTAGATACATAGTAAAATATTAATAAGAGAATATTTTTAGATTTTTAGTGACTTCATTGGGGGAAAATCGAAGGATTTTAAATATTTTCCATCTGATTTTCAATTATTGTTAGTTTTATTCTTAAAGGAAATTTTTTTATATGTTCGTAGAAAAAAGTCGACTCACATTTTTTTTATTATTTGAAAAATGTAAATACTATGTCTTAGGCTTTTGCCAAAATGACCAATTATTTCCAAGGAAAAATTTTGTCTATTTCTCTTGAAGCTTGACCATCAAGAAAATAACATTTTTTTGCGTCTGTGTCCTCGAACTTTAATGTATGTAAATAATATGCATGTGTAATTAAATTCACATAATAAAAACTATTTAAGGTGATTTTATTATTCTACGGATTTGCTCAATACGCAACCCCAAAATAAGTTTCCCTTGACAACGAACTTTAAAAAATTTTCAGTCATAACAAACATTTTAATAGTCCATTTACTTTAGTATAAAATTCGGTCTGAATAATAAAATACCTCTTCATAAAACTAATTGAAGTATTTAGTCATAGTGAAAAAAATGTCGGTTGAAGATTCTTGGGTTTTCGATTCATTGGTTTGTTTTTTACATGGACCAATTTGGAATGCACCATTACAAACCTTTATCGAAGAAAAATCATTAGGTAATCTTTATAACACATATATACTTTTTTTCCATATATATATAGATTTTTCTAGTATTTGATCCGAATTTGCAACCTGATGAGGACAACGCTGATATTAAAAAGATACATGATGAGTATAAAAATTTGGTGGATTATATGTTGGGGAGTTTTATGGAAGAGATGCAAATAACGCCTGAACAATTTGAACTGGCTTGCATGGAGGGGCGTAACCAACAAGCAGATAATCCATTTCAATTGCATCAGGGGTTATTTCATCAGGTACTACATGAATATATTATTCAATAGTACAATAGCAGTTAACAAATAAATTTTTTATAGATTTGGGCTGCAAATGATATAAAAATATTTATACGCATGATGACACAACGTAATGTTGAATTACAACTACAAGCTCTTGATTTGATTGAAAAAAATCAATTGGCACTTTTGCAAGATAACGAATTTGTGGATAATTTAAGTCCCACAGATAGCGCTCATTCTCATAGGTGAAATTGCATTCGAATTAGAAATAAATTATGTCAAAATATAAGTTCATATATTCATTTAAAGTGATAAATATTCTGATGTTGAAGACTTTATTGTTAAGTCGGTCGAAAAGGAAATGGAATCACCAGAGGCAGCTTTAACACCAGAAACCGATATAACACAGGACGATGTTAGTGATAAATTTGAAAGACTCAATTTATTTTTTGAGAAAAATGATAAGGTTTGTCTCTTCTTTATTTGTAAAAAAAAGTATATAACGTCATATTCTAATTTATATATACATTTTAAATATATTTAAATATATAAAGGTTAATCCAGATGATATGTTATCGCGTCAGGAATATTTACGTCAGCAGCGTGATAAGATTGTGGAGATCAAAAAGAAGACAAGAGCTAAACAGTTAATGGAAACAACACGTAAAACAACAACCACGTCAACAGGACGTCCAACTTCTGCACAGGCGGCACAGAAACTTTTGGCAAGTGGTGGACATACTGAAGAATTATTAGAAAAAAATGGAGACACGGATTTAACTTCCGCTTTGCAGTTGCGCAAGACTTTGGCTAAGCGTTTACGTGCCGAAGTTGTAGAACAGCAGTAAAGGTTATATATAAATAATATTTGAAAAATATATGAAGTATACTTAATATCCAAATATATGAATCTCAAAATATTGAGTCAAAAATACATAATTTTAATTTCGAAACAGTTCAGTGTATTTTGGTTATACAACTGTTATTTTCTAAATATACTGTTTGTATACTATATGTTCCCATATATTACTATATACAATAACAAAAATTTTATCCATCCAACTTCTTATCAAAGAAATCAAAACCGAGTTAATAAACGTAGCAGATAAAAACGCTGCTTTTATTTTTGTAACTCGCTGTAATAGTTCGGTAGTTACTATGGGTATTACGGCTCTATGCGGGCAATTAGGCTGAACTGTTGAAAATTAAGTTTTTCTCCTAGAATAAGTAGTAAGGAAGAAAGAACGACAACAGTGTAGAGGACAAGTAGAGGACAGTTTCCGAAAATGTTTGAAGTGCCGGTTAATTCAAAACAAGCAACTATATAGCAGGTGGCTATACTCTAACCTCGTTTTCTAAAGGACAAATTTTATTATATAGGAATATTGTATTCCTTGCACTGCACTGTTTGAAGTGCCGGTTAATTCAAAACAAGCAACTATATAGCAGGTGGCTATACTCTGACCTCGTTTTCTAAAGGACAGATTTTATTATATAGGAATATTGTATTCCTTGCACTGCACTGTTTGAAGTGCCGGTTAATTTAAAACAAGGTACTATATAGCAGGTGGCTATACTCTAACCTCGATTTCTAAAGGACAGATTTTATTATATAGGAATATTGTATTCCTTGCACTGCCTCGTAGTGGTTAAAGGAAGATCTGTACACATCCGGAACTTTAAGAAGATACTGCATCAATAAATCTTGAGGGGTTTGGTTTCAAATTTCAGTATCGGTCAGGTATACATTTTGGAGTCAAGATCAAATTTAAACTCAACGACTAAGAGCTGCTCACTACTCTCCTATAAGTGAAGTTATAACAACGAATGTTCCTGATTCCATTTCGATAAATATAAGTAAAATGACTACTAATTTCATATTTTACCGAATGGTTATATTTTTAAATTTATGTATATGTCTTTATGTTATGAGTTCGAGTTCCTTCTTCATATTATATGATTAAATATCAAAATATTGATTCTAGGAGTCCCAATATGAAAAGTATATTCTATATGTATCCGCCGTTTTTATAGATCAAAGTTGCATAAACACGTTGTCTATTTTATACTATTACTAATTTCATAACATACCGGACATTAGGTTTATTGTCCGTCGAAGTTACGTACGTACATAATTTTTGTGGTTTCGAATTCCTTTTTAAAAAATCAAAATGTTAATATACAATGGCCGCGAGGTGGAAGGTCTACTACTAGAGCACTGCTTTTCTTCTTTTTTTGACACATAATTAAATCTAAAGTTCCGGATCGTTTAAAATATTAAGTGTGTTCTATTATATATATAATACATTATATATATTATTTTTTTGTGTACTATGTAGTTTGTTAGTTATTTAAAACACTTTATAGTTACAGTCTTTTTCTAAAATTATACTCAGCATTTAAATAAATTGTAATGAGGCCAAGGTTCACACTAGACTGTAGTGCCAAATAAGAAGAGGAAGATTTAATAAAATTTATTTATTTCCAATAATATATATAAAGTAAAATAATCAAGAATTGTTTATTTTAATAAATAGTGTAAAACACCTTTAATAAAAATTTGCTTTATTTTTAAAACATTTTTAATAAAATATTTATTAAGTAAAATGTACATAAATTTTAATAAAAATTATATTTTTTAAAATCTAAAAACTTTATTTAAAAAATAAATAAAATAATATTTTAAAATGCTTTGACTTTTAATAAGTTTATAATTTGTTTTTGATTTATTTAATTTTTTTTCGAAAGAATTTAATAAAATTATTTATTTTTAATTGTGCATATCACATTAATTTAAAAACGGCTTTATTAAAAAATATGTTATAGTTTTTATAATAATTTAAAAAGATTTGTTAATATTCAAAAAAACAAAATTATAATATATAAACTTATTAAATTTACATATGGCAAGGTACTTGTTATGCTTTTTGGTTAAAGACTAATTAGAGGTTTCAGGTGTTATACGATCTCTTAAATAGGACATTATAGATGCCGTCCCCTTTGCTAATATTTGGTGTCGAGGTTGACGAAATGAATTACCAATCAAATCCAAAGATCTATCCAAAAAAAATTATATATATATAATAAGACGGTTTCTTGTTAAATTTAAAAATACAAAAAAATCGCTTACGTTATATTTTGGAGGTTACCCAATATTGGCGGTACGTGACTAATATCATTATTGCTTAGATCCAAAGTTGCTAAACGTTTCAATCCTCCTAGTCCCTGAGGAGTTGCATCGATCATTTGTATACGATTGCTGCCCATCAATATAATTTCCAAATTTGGAAGATTATACAGACAATTTGGTATGGATTTAAAACTAATAACAAATTATTAAAAAAAACTTCTGTTAGAAATCTATTTTTAAGTAACTATTAATATCCATTTCTTACTGATTATTGCAGAAATTAACTTCTCGTAATGTATTGAGTACGCCAAATTCTTCAGGTAGTACCGATAATTGATTATTAGATAAATTTATGTGCGCTAATCGTGTAAATTGCGATATAAACGATGGTACAGATTTTAAGAAGTTTTTTGCAACCACAAGTTCAGTTAGACAGTCATTTACTTTCAGTAAGCTTTAAAGAAGAAATCGCTATTATAACTACATGATATATATAGTATATATTATTTACAATTACCTTTCTGGCAAGCTTTGTAGCACATTTTTAGACAAATCAATCATGGTAACATTTTCTTCCTTAGCTACATCTAATACTTCTGCAGGTACGTCGTCTAGGTTTTGCATAGTAGCAAATAAACTGTGTGTCTTTCGCATTTTAAATCTGTAATAAATTGTTTTTATTATAAAGTAAATTTTGATTTGGTAAGTAGAAATTCTCACCTATCCGGAAAAACTGTTTCGTCATATTTGGTATTTGGTTTTTGTACATTTAACACATTAGTATCTGCTTCTGCTTGATCTGATATGGAACGATCACGCAAGGTTTTCAAAATTCTCGTTGTACCACATTGAAGTATTTCCCGTCTTATAGTTTTTATTGGATTACCTTCTACTTGTAAATTTACAAGATGACCCAGTTTTGCTAGGGAATATGGCAATTTACTTATATTATTGTTTGCGACATTTAAGCGTGTTAAACTATGCAAAAGGCCTATTTCGTCAGGTATAACTGTTATTTGATTGTCGGCTAAGTCAAGGATCTTCAAATGTCTTTGCGTCTCACAAAATTTCTCTGGAATTTTCTAATATATAATAATTTTTTATTATTATTGAAAACATTATAAATATATTGGTATCAAGTATATATATTATATTAAAAACGTTTGTGATAATACAAAAAATAATATAATTTTTTACCTTCAAGTAATTGTTTGCAGCATATAGTTCTTGCAACTCCTCACAGCTTTCGAAGTCTGGTAAAGATCTCATGTCGTTGTGTTGTAAATAAATAAATTCTAATTTACGCATTAGACCAATATCTTCCGGAAGGAATAATAAATCATTGTGCGTCAAATCTAACTTTTGTAGACCTATATATATATATTATAAAAATTATATCAGTAAAAATTATTTAAACTAAATATTTATATATATAATAACATATTAAGTAAGTTTTACATATTAAATAACTTACACCACATTTGAGTAATATCAGATGGTAGCTCTTTGAGGTGGTTATATGATAATTTAAGCTCAATTAATTTTGTCAGAAAACCAATACCGCACGGTAGTGACTTTAGATTATTGTTGGAGACGTCCTTTAGTTTTTTGTTTTTGTTAGGATTAAGTTAAAAGTTTTTGATGAATTAAAAAGCGGGTTCAATATATAAGAGTATAAAAATTAATACAATTTGTAGAGAAAATTTAGTACAGTAAAAATTTAGTAAAGATAGTATAGTATACTATTGGTCACTTAAATTTATTTATAGATAATACATATTTTTATAAATATTAATAATAAATTTTTTTTTAAAATATTTATTATTTTTTTGTAAAAAAATAAAGTAAAAAGTACTATATAATTTTTATTAGTAATATCTTTAATTTGTATGTTTATTAAAATATTAAAATATAAATACATATTTGTAACTATTTTTTTATTTCAGCTGGTTTCAATGGGCATCCATTCAAAACCCTTTTCTTTGTTATTGGGTAACACCAAACTACATTTGGACTTTGGAATTAAAAAAAATAAGATTTAAGATCTTTACTCTGTTATTTGTAGAATCAACTGAGAATAATTTTGCTAAAAGATAATATTATTTAGTATATGATATATGTATACATGTAGTACAGAGAACAGTAAAGAAGAACCGATATTAGTTCTGCATTAAATAGTTGATTAGACTAGCAAAACTAAATAATTTTAATTTAGAGTACTTGTTAGTTTATTTTTTTCTAAATAGTTTTATATAAAGGTATATAATATAAATAAGTATTTTAAAATATATATAAGCGAAACCACTTTTAGTATTTAATGCACAAATAAATATTAACAACTATAGATCTACTATATATAGATATAAAAAATTTGCATCATATATAATTTATTATATTACAATATAGCACTTATTCTTATTCGATTTAATTAATATTAATAGTTTTATTATTAATAAATAATAAAAAAATAAATTATGGTTGAAAATATATTACCTCTACACAATTTGTTATTAGTTCAAATATAAAATATTTGAGAGCAGGTAATAAAGAGACTCAGCTATATTTTACATTTATTGTAGTACAATATTTTTTCTTTGTAAAATATATATACATTAAGACCGAAAAGTTTTCGGAAATTCTCATTTAAAATTCGCACGCTGTATATTTTTCGATATTTTAAGTTTATGTAGTTTGGCAGCAATTAAGGACAATTACTATGCCAAAAATGAGCGCGATCTGTCAGACAGTTCGTTTACGGCAGCTGTTGAAAACAGTTCACCTCAGTAGTGCGTTGCGAAAAAAACAATGGAAAAAAATATTGGACAAAGAGTTTGCATCAAATTTTGTGTTTCGAACGAAATTTCGTGTGCAGAATCGTTGCGAATGCTACAAAAGGCTTATGGGGAATCAGTTTTATCGAAAACTCAAGTTTATGAGTGGTACAAAGCCTTTCAGGACGGTCGTACGACCGTCGAAGACATTTCGCAACGCACTACTGAGGGGAACTGGTTTCAACAGCTGCCGTAAACGAACTGTCTGACAGATCGCGCTCATTTTTGGCATAGTAATTAAGGACAGTGCTGCCAAACTACATAAACTTAAAATATCGAAAAATATACAGCGCGCGAATTTTAAATGAGAATTTCCGAAAACTTTTCAGTCTTAATGTATATATGATTTTAATTATTTAATATTAATGTAATATATGCCATCAAATAGTTGTTGTTGTTCCCCTCTTACAAAATCTATGGAGTGTGATACACATTTCGGTTAGTGCCACATAGACCAAAGAGTCTCATCGGTGGGTTAAATATATATTTATAACTCAAAATCGCTTTTTACGATTAATTTCAGGAATAATTATGTACTATGTATAGGATAAAGAATTCTATAAATTTTAAAAATATTAACTATTAATGAACTAAATTGTAATACCAAATAATTGTAATACTACCTAAAATATGTTCCAAATAATGTCTTAAGAACTCTGTATCACAAAAATTTAAAAACCAATTCAAATAGATAATTGAAACCTTGAAGGACAAAAGTTTGTTAACATTCTTGGACTCAGATTTAATTTATCAGGGAGAAGTGCATATCATTGAAATTGGAATGTCTAAAAAGGTGATACCATAATCAGGATAATCGGGAAGCTAAAAAATCTCTTCAATTTTGGAAAGTTGTGAGCTAACACGAATAAAGTAACATGTGTCCAAATACCTGGAAGTATAGATTTGATAATATAGATATTGCAACCGCGTCAGTATTTTAAAACATTAAATGTAAAATTTTTCTAGAATAATGATTCGATGGTGAACGGTTAAAGTATTCTAAGCAGTTCATAAGAATTGTTAGTTAAACTAAATATCAACAAATAATACACTGGTCGGTTTTCAATTTTATATATTATCAGCTACTTATATGAATTTGCTCCTGTTAGCGATAACTTTTCTAAGATAGGATGCTAATAAGTGTGAATTTCGTAAAATACAGAGTAAAACACTCGTTTATCTTAACTACTCACATCCTGCGACATGGCGCCAGTACCTTCTATGTTTAGTAGATATTCTGCATATACAGGACAATAAATATCAAAAGTTTTGGTTTATTATTATCAGGAAATGGATCTAGTACAGTCTCAAAGATCGCGATTCATTATTGTCAGGTAATGAAGTCAGTGTCGTAATTGTTGAGCGACATTCAGCAGATATAGCACAATAGATCTCAAAGGTTGCGGTTTACCTTTGTTTATTAGAATAAAGCGAGAACATTACTGACCATGTTATCAATCAGCGTATATTGGTTTATGGGTTAGGTTAAGGTTTTTATGCACTGCCACCAGCTTGACATACTGTGCACCAATTAGTGTATATTATTATTAATTATAAACAATATATATGACAAAGCACATGTAGTATTTTTAAAAGAAGTTATATGCATTTTAGATTTTATTGTATTGACTTTCAATATATAGTTTCGTCGTATCGAACTTAAAATATTGCATTTTCATTCAATAAAAAATAACATTATAAATGTTAAATTTTTTTGTCGAAAGTGACTGGCTCGTATTATGACGAAAAGAAACTATCTAACTATAAAGTTGGAAGGGTTCGAATAGAAATGAAGCAACAACAACAACAAATTCTTTTGTTAATTTTTTGAAGTTTGGCTGTCTATAAAACATTGTTTGAAGTATTGTTAAGTACTCATCATCAGTGGGGTTTTAGGAAATATTTTATTATTTTTAATTAGTTTATAGTCCGTATATAATTTGTTTGGAAATATAAAATTTATTATCTCCAGAACTTTTAAAACTGAGATATGATTTTTAGAGGATCCTATGCCAGATATAATGAATAAAATAAATACATCTAAGGAAATTGTTGGGAACTGCAAAATTATTTAAAATCAATATGTAATGTTGATTCATCTAGTTTCACCTTTCCTAGGAATAGTAATCTCATAGGAACTACGATGGCAACAACCATATAGGAATATTTAAAATAAATGATAAAATTAATAACATAAATAAATACAGGTAAATACAGATTTTAAATATGACATAATAATATATAATAACATATATCTACGTACCAATTGCTCAAGCATATGTATATCACTAATCGCTGGTGGTAATTCTTCAAAATTATTGTGGGATAAATTTAAAATACGTAAATTGGGTAAAGAGCATAACTTATCCGGCAAATCATTTAATTTATTCCGACTTAAATTTATTCGTGTTAATTTAATTAATTCTCCAATTTCATTTGGCAAGGAAGTCAAATTATTATTATGTAGCTAAATTAAATAGATAAAATTTTTTTATTCATTATTCGAACAAGCAATACCTTCAGTTGAGTTTTTTAATATAATCCACTTACTGACAAGATTGTTAAATCTTCTAATTTTATAATTTGTGGAGAAACAGTGGTTAGGGAATTTGAACTTAAATCCAAGTTTGTTAATGGCACTTGATCCCACCACGCTTCTTCAGTTGATTTACGATTAATATCATAAGATAATTCACTTGGATCTGTCTCATTGATGGCAAAAACTTTATCTGGCACTGAAATTGAAAATTAAAAAAAATTACATTTACTAATAAATAAAATGACTAAAAAACAAAATTAGTAAATGCTTTAAAAACTTTAAATCATTTAGTCAAAATTTGATATAAAAAAATAAAATCCAGTGTACTTGAGTTATCTTGATCGGTGGGCTTTTCCATAGACTCCTCTTTTGGAGTTTCGATTTCAAGAGTTTGCTCAGTGTCAGCTTCTTCAGCACCGGAATCATTTTGAGGAGAAGCCATACGGAATTCGCGCGAATGATAATACCGACGTCTTGGATAAGGATCAAACATCGAAAACGATGTTAATACAAAATTATTCTTTTTCATTCAATAAACTTAAAGGATCTTCTTCTTGCAGACATTAATTAAATGAAATATTTTTGCGAAATTCTAAGTGTTCACTTCAGAGTTTAAACTTAAACTGTTAGAATTCTTGGTAAAATTTTATTAAAATTATAGGTTTACATTGATGACTTAATGAAGCATTAAATTAATTTTCTTCATAAATGGAAAGTGCAAATAAATTCAAGATATATATAAAATTTTTTTACTTATTAAAAATATAAGTTCATTAACAAGTTTATGTAGACTTTATTTGGTAATTTGATATTTTCAAAGTTAATTGGAATCTATTTAAGAAAATTTTTAAAATCTTTTAAATGATTTATTTTATCTACACAAAACAGTTGACATCGAAATAAAGTACTATAAAAATTATTTAAGTACCAGATTTTATCAGATTTAATATATACTGGGGTAAGTCATTTTAAAAATCATTTATTTTTTTTAGTTTGTGAGTACTATTATTATAATATATTAAATAATAATATATTAAATATATATTAAATATATAATATGGTTTTTGTACATATTGTATATATGTGTATTGTCCTACGGTTATAGGTCATTTTTTGTTAAAAATAAAATTCCACGTTTGTTTAATATTTTTAAAAATATTTAAAACAGTCATCATCAGCATAAGGATCTAACATAAATTAATATTAATGAAATCTATATTTAAGTGTCATCCTCTTCATTCTATATCATTCAGTCTATATTGCGTATTCAATATCGTATATGGAGATGTTATCTATCAACCTCTTTTTATGTTTTTGCCAGGAACTCTAACAGAGCGATTTCAATATCTAAGTAACTTTATTGACTTGACAAGATAACAAAACAAGACTTCTCGGAACACTTTAGCTTTTAGAAGGATAATACAAGTAGATAAAAATGGTTAGTATAGTTTGCATCTCCCAGGCAATTTAAAGGTATCAACACCGCGTTATCAAATCTCAGAATGGTTACAGGCTCCTCGGGAAGGTATGCAGATCTGAGGTCAATTATTTCTTAGTCACAGCTTAAAGAGAGGTTTTGAAAATACCATGAGTTAAGAAAGAATAAAAGTGCTCAAGTGCACTGGCTCAAATGGACTATACAATGGATAATAGATGTCTCCGAGTGCAAGTGTCTTAGTTGTTCTACTGTGCTGACAGAGATACGAAAGAAGACCTGTCGAAACATCTTAGCTTCCACAAGAATGAAATAAGTAAATAAAAATAGTTAGTGTAATTTGCCGCTTTAAGGTAATTTAAAGGACATCATAATGCCAATAGATATCTATGAAAAGATATATTGATGGTTGTATCAGCACGTGAACTCTTAAACCAAACTAATAGTTACAATATGTGTCAAAATATATAATTGATTTAGAAAGCAAACACATATATATATATAATAAAACTTTCATGTTAGGATAAAAAGAAACGTAGTTTTAAGGAAGGAATAGGAAAATGGAAAGATATAGATATTGCTATAATTATTACCTTAAAGTGTGGCAGGTAGATAAAAAAATACTGAGTACAAGTATGACACAAAAGTTAACATATAATATAAGGAACAATTCTTGATAACTTGAGAAGTACAGAATTTAGTGGGAGAGAGATAATCGGTTCTTTGACACAGTTATAAAAATCTTACCACCTCAATAGAACCAAGCTACAAATTATAATAGTTGTTTACACTTGGATAATTGTATATACCATAGTCGACGTAGATTAAATATTTCTTATCTGGTCACCCATCTTGAAAGAGAAAATAAAGTTAAAGAAAACGACAGAGATCATGTGCTTCTGATATAGGCATTCAATGTTACCATTGGGAAAGAAAACAGAGTTAACTCGATAGAAAAAAAGGTATTACTAGAAATATAATCAATCAATTCATTTCTTTCTAAAAAGTGTACTGGAAGTTAGATTTTATACATAATACCAGAATTCCTATTTGATGACCTGTTTCTTTAGTAATAATGTAATTTGTATTTCGTGGAATTTTTTTTTGCTTTTTGCTTATTAGGAAAATATGTTTTAAATGCCACTGACCCACTATTTAGTTAAGCTCATGTTTTTATTAACATCAAAGATTTCTCAACCGTCTGCATATATTTTTATTATAGCTATAATTCTGACATTAAAATATTGAAAAACATTTCGTTACTGTAGCCTTTTTTTGGTATGCTTATCAGCGCTTAGTCGGCGAATTTGACGAGGGACATAGATCCGGAAGTTTTTTGAACTATGCTATCTGCTTTGTTGATCCTTGCAGGCTTCAAACACGTCAGTAAGTAGGTGTTGTTCATCACTTTCTGCGGTATTTCATCGTTCAGCAAATGGGTAAAATAAAATCTTAAGTGTTAATCTTACATATGTTATTTTTATATTTTTCTGATTAAGTACAAATTCAGCATTTGGAGTGGTTTGGTATTATTGTACACTACAGCCAATAAGTTCGTAAAGACGATCAATTGCCATACACCATTCTCATTCAGCTACCACAAAGAAAGTTACCTATCTGAGTTACAATAATATTTACTGTCCTATCTCTACAGTTAGCTAATAAGTTACAGTGGCAAAGTAATACTATTGATAAATCTGACAATTTCCATACCAAAAAGGTTTCAGAACTTATTGGGTTTATTGAGTGTCGAATATTTAACACTGAGTTTATATATTCTAAACGTATGGCTTGACAGTGTAAGAGTTTATTCGATTTTCTGCATATACCTATTCCGCCTTACTATCCAGATCTAGCACCAAGTAACTATCTTGTCTTCGTATCCATGAGGCATGCGCTCGCTGAGCAACACTTTACCAATATTTTGAATAAAAAAAAATTTCTTTTGAAATTTGTGTTATTTTTACTAACAAAAAAAAAATTCTAACAACGGGGAAAAAATTGATGCATACACCTGGTATGTATGTTCTTATTCACTCAGTATGTATTAGTTAATCGATGTTCCTTGTAACTGTTTCCTCATATCAATATTTCTATTTGAAACTGGAAATAAATTTAGAATAACCTATATCTATTTGATCTGTTTTGAAACGTTAATGTGAGTCTATATATATATATATATATAATATATATATATGTGAGTATATATATATATATATTATATATATATATAATATATATATATATATATATATTAATATAATATATATATATGTGAGTATATATATACATTCATTTATTTGTGAGTTAACACTAAAATTAATTTTAAAGCTGATTAAAAATAAGGAACTGGACTACTAGGTTCTTCACCCTTTGTAAATATATATATGCCAAATATGTTAGTTTAAAGCACTTGATTAAGGTATTTTTTTAACTGCGAATGTTGTAGCACCCAACAGTACATACTAAAAACGACGACTAACTGCCGTTCAACACCCCCCAAAAGAGATTTCACATGCAGGCCCCATCGGGTTACAGCAACAACAACGTACTTAAAATAAATTTTCAAACATCGTTTCTTCAATGTGTCCTGTGGCAACTTCCCAAACTAGTAGTGCAACATGACACAAACATTTACTCGTTGACCTTGAAAGCACATATTTTTAGTTTCACTTTGCACTTGCAACACAAATATGTACGTTCGTATTTTGTGAAGTGACTGATAAGCAGCAAAAAACTCACTCCAGCTATGGATTTTATTTCACAATCCCACACAAGGATTTCTTAGTAATTTCCTGCATCGCGAACACAATGCAATACACAGTATTGTATTTGATATGTGTATGTATGTACGTAGAACACTACATATTTATTGTTATTGATTTATATTTCTGTAAATTCAGAAATATTAAAGTACTTAAATTTTATTTTCCAATACCTGTTGAAAGCGCTTTTCCCGATAAATTCAGCACTCCAGAAGCTCTAGCCTGCTTGATCATGCCAGCAGTAAGTATAGCATTATCTTCTGCCTTCTCTCGTTTATGGAAAACAGGATTTAAAGTTCCCAATCGACTAGATTGCAATCTCCTTGAATACATTTTGTTTATGTTTCTTCACCAGCAATTGATTAAATAATTTTTTAAATTCTAAGGCAAGTGATATGTTTTCATTAAATTAAACTGTTCAACATATATTTTCTTTAGAATTTCTTCCATCTATTTTTGGTATGATTTTTCTAGCAAAGCTAAGTTATGTTTTTGTTTTATTGCTTCTTCAATGTAAATGTGTTTTTTTTTTGTTTTGCCAAAAAGAAATTTGAAATGTCAATGCTGACTTTTCTATTTATTTACGAATACGTAGCAAAAGGAAATAAAAAAACGCTACTCTGCTGTTGTAGAGAATATTGGCGCTCAAGTATTCATTTCGGTAATTGGTGACGGAAAAATTGATTAATAAAATATTTTGTTATAACAACAAATGTTAGCGTGAGAAGTAAAGTTAGCAGTAAAGGAATATTGTTAAATAATTTGGGATATAAATTTAGTATTTTATTTAGTGTTATTTTATTAAGGTAATTGTTATGTGCTTCTTGTTCAATGGAGAAAAATGATTTGCTTTGCGTTAAATACAAAATTTATTTTCATTTTTTCTAAATTTATTTTTATTAAAGATATTTCTTTAAATCAAATTATTATACTAACATTAATAAATAAATTAATAATAATAATAAATGCAAATTAAAATTAATATAACTAAAAACAAATAAATTTATTATACAAGTATTTTATCGTATCTATTGTTGAGAAAATCAATTAACAACTTAGTTATTTAAATAGTGTAAATTTTCTTATTTTTATTTAACAAAATTGTTGATATATTAATCGAAAATTAGTTTACTGTAATATTGTTTATAAACTAAATTTTTTCAATTTGACGTTTCCACTTCTGTAAAATGCAGAAGACAGGTATGTTTAATATTTTTGATCATAACAAAATATAAACATAAAGAAAAATACTTGATATTCTCTGATAAAAACCAACAAAATGAATAATAATAATATTCAAATTACTTAATAATAATAATATATGTTATACATACATATACTTTGAAGATAACTTTGAAGATAATCAGATATTAATTAAGAATCACATAAAATATAAAATAAGTCTAGTTTATGACAATTCATATTATACATGATATATTATAAATAAATGCTAGGTATAATAATAATGCTTATTTATTATAATGTAATAAGTACATTAATTTAATAAATAGAATTTATTACAATACATAAATGAATTTTATAACAATAAATGTTTCAACTTGAACCTGTTATTAGTTAAATCTACGAAAACAAAGTATTAGATTTGAGTACAGATTGATTTAAGACTATATTTCAGACTTTGACTTTGAATCCCGCCATGACGTTTGTTTTATATTATGATATCTTATAACTATGGCATATCTAGAATGTGGATAGACATAAGGAATTAAGAATTGATAGAAATTGACATAATATTTGGATATCGATATTAATTCAGAATTCCACTTAATTAAAAATTAATTTATAATTCTACTCCACTAAAATGCAATAAATATTCATTCAGTGAAGAAGATATGCTGGGTTTCAAACTATGCTTCTATATTCTATATTTGCATGGAAAACTTGCTACATAATTTCTTATTTTAATTCTTAAAACTAAAATTCTTTTATTTTTATTCACAAAATAATTTTTAAAATATATAAACTTCTTTGATAATTTGTTTGTATCCCATTTTTATTCAAATTTGCTGCTTTTGAGGGTAATAAATGTCTATAATTTTTTCAATTATTTTACAAGGTATGCCAATAGATAGCTTTTTTCGTCATCTCGACCTTTCCGAAATATTAATGCTTCGTGTTTTTTTAATGAATACATACATATATACTTTTTAAATAGATCAAACTTTATTTTATTGTAGTTATCAAAAGTCTGAAAATTAAAAAATCAACTAAAATATTTATTTTAATACCTCCAGCTCAAAAAGTACCCGGATTTTGTAAATAAAACACACAAATTGAAATTTTATTCCAAATTTATTTGATCTCCTTCAAAATATGCTCCTTCTGAAGCGATACACATATGCCAACGCTTAACCCAATATTCCATACACTTTTCGTAGGCCCGTGAAAGTATAGCTTCCTTCAGCGAGTTCTCTTTTATCGATTCAATGGACTCAAAACGTTTACCTTGAAGGGGCAATTTTAGTTTCGGGAACAGAAAAAAGTGGCACGGCGCCAGATCTGGCGAATATGGTGCCTGAGTGATGACAGTGGTGCCGTGTTTGATCAAAAATTCGCGTACAACAAGAATTTTCCATAGTAAAAATCGCTAAATGCACTAGAGGTAGTCTAACATTAACAGCTGCTGTAAACAATCTATTTGACAGATGGCGCTCAAATTTGTACCATATGTCAAGGAAGGGTGTACCAACATAACAAAAAAAATTTTTGAAAAAGGTCTATTACTTAAGGAGTAGTTAACAAACGATAAAATCCGGATACCTTTTGAGCAGAAGGTATATAACTGTTTTTGGCATAAAAGTAAAAATGTTATTTATTCGATCATTTTCTTGCATATTATGTACTTGTAATTGTTTTATGAAAATAATACCAATATTATTGTGTATATGACCATAAAAAAAGTGCATAGATTTTTCTATATTCGCTGACTTAGGGTATATTAAAATGTGTGCTTAATTCCATGTAAAAATTAAGCGCATCTCTAAATGTGCTTAAAATAAAAAAAAAAAAATAACAAAAATGTGATAAAAAGATAAAAATCAAAAATAGTTTTAAAAGTGAAACTATAACCAAGTTGGTGCTTGTATGGGTTTTTGTTTAGTGGTTCAGGAAGATACTTCTTATAATATTGCGAGTGAACTAACTCATGAGATTTCTCATTTAAATAATTTATTAATTTAAATCTCATTGCTTATATTTAAGCGGATAAACGATAAAAATATTAACATAACGTAACATAACTAATTAATTGATCGAGGATATAATTCCCGTTTATTTGTAAATGTAAAGGTATAATGAAAAAAGATATACCTTTATCGCACAGGTAGGATGACCGACTTATGGAGTGTGTTAGTTTTGTCTGTCGAGAGAGAATTTTACACTCTAACTGCCTATTGAGGTCATAGTAGCATCTATTGGCATTGGTGATTTTTGTCTGATTTCTAGGCTGACATCGTTGTTGTTTGTTATGGCGATGCCAAGGTTGATGAAATCCTTTAAAAAATTTAAAAATATAGTCACCAGTTATCAGTTTGACGATCAGTGACTTCATTTTGCCTTTATTCTAAACCCATAATCGCAGTTTATTTTTCGATGGCAGAAAAGACAACTATAACATTTTTTTTTTGTTTTTGTAGTGAGGTTGTGGAATGCTTTATGTACCGTAAAACCGACCGTCGTCCTAATGATGTACCCGATTCCCTCACATTAATATGTAGTATATGGATTAAAACATTCCCTCTACGACAATACTTATTCGCCCTCGGAACCGCTTTCGCATTATTTCGAGGAGGGTCTCTTTTATGTTGGCATTTCAAGCCATGCTCAAGTCCTACAATTTTTGATCTGCGTCCAAACTTCCACTTTTTCACCGGATTTTCTTGGTGTCTGCCCTATTTATTATTCTAGTTTTTGGTTCTAATTTGTTCGTTTTGAGCATTTTAGTCATATATAACTCTATCGTTCGTCAGCTCTTTGGCAACTATAATATGATAAAAATCCATATGAATAATATAGATTCAAATAAGGAGTTAAATAACTTCTGTATTCTATTCCATATTTCATAAATTCATATTTCATAATAATATCGCAATAGATTTCATAAATTGGCAATATTATTGCATTTTTAGTTTCTAACTGATATTAATTATCTGTTCAGTTGCACTTTTGCTACAAAGCACATTCAATAATCTGAATTAAAATTAAATCAATTGAGCTGAGACAATGGCTATATAGTTTCTTCCACGTGTTTGTTCTAGATTTATGGTGTATTTTATGTTTGTTTTATTTAAATTTTCACAAATCAACATTATCGATGTATGTCAATAACGATTAAGATCACGAGCATTAAGCAATTACGTGCTTAGGTACAATGTTGCGCTTTGATATTAATTTAAGCTTAATTGATTTCAATTTGCGGTCTTGCTTTATCATTCTCTAATGTAAGCTTCGGCTTCAGTCAGTGACCTACGCCAATTGTTCAATTACACTTGCGGACACCTTCCTAAAGCCCAATTCCTATTCATTGTGGATTAAATTGTTTTAAATTGTTTTGATAATGAAAGATGTCTGCCGTTACTACAATGTATAAAAATTCTCCGTTCTTTTTCTTCTTCTTCTTCTTGTTTATGGTTACACGTGACGTATGAGTAACGTTGCCATTCACCGCTATTGTCATTCTTTCTGCAGCGTAAGCAATCACTTTGCGGTACTTTTTCATTTAACAGTTGTTTTCATTTCTTTATTTTAGTGATTTTATCACTTTGATTTCGCTTTCTAGCTGCCACATTTTTATTATTTAAAAAATTGTTTACTTCAAGTAATCAAAGAATATTCTGTTCTTCTGAAAGCCCTAAAATGAACCATGCCAAGGTCGTGTTTATAAGCCTTATAAGTCGCGGTCATACTTTGCATTAAATTGCTTTCATTTTGTGCAGCGTATCGGATAACAAGTTATAAACCTTACACCCAAGTGAAAATGTTTGTTAGTAATAGAGGATTTTATTTTAAACACAATTTTGTTTTTTTTTATTTATTTTAATTGTAGGAGTTTATTTCATAGTATAGTTTTTTGTTTTCTTTTTTAATTTTAGAAAGCGAAATCGTTTTTTATATTTAAGTCATCGTAATACAGATTTTACACTTGCCGAAAATGGCTCATTTTAGTCAAAAATTGAAAATGAGAAGCGAATGACTCATTCGCGCTTGAAATTTTGTATGCAAGAATGAGCCATTCACATTACATTCTGTATGAATCCGTCCCAACGACGTTCGCATGCATTCCAACTATGTTCCAAATGCAAACGAATACATTGAACATAACCTAAATAAAAGCTCTTCATGGCATTTTGACACTTTGAGAAAGCTGTTTTTGACATATTTACAAAAAAAGGTACACAAATATTTGGTGGTTGCATTTTCTTGAAAACGTTAGAACTTCTACTTCTCAAAAAGTAATTAATCGAAGTTAAAAATATGTTTTAAGTTTATATTGTAAGGTTTGAAAGCATATTTAACCTTCATGCAACATTTTTTTGGCACATGCCAAAAATCAAATCAACAGGCAAGTTGAAAAATCAGCTGTTTGAAATAAGAACAAACGAATTACAACGAATGTAAACACTTTTAAATGGCTCATTCAAAATGAACCATTTTCGGACAATGTAAACGCCTTATAAAACTAAATAAATAAATAATAAAAATAAATAATAATAATAAAAAATAGTAATAAATAATAATAAATAATAAATAAGGAAATAAATATTGCTTTATAAAGAGTAATAGGTTGTTTGGTATTAGCGAACAAATTTATAGATTTTGTTTCTAGTGTTTGAGTTTTTAAGTCGAAATTATTTTAAAGTCCATTTTGTTTTTTTTAATTTTTCTAAGAATATTAACTTTTATTTCAGGTATTAATTTTTAGTATATTTCTATACATATTTTGGCAAAAGAAAACCGATTTTAAACTTTATAGATAATTTCTAGGATTATATTGAATACAAGGAACTCTATAACAATATGCTTAGCTTAAAAGAATATCTTATATGCTAATCCCATTCATTCACTGTTCTTATATTTTATAATTGATTGTTATTTTTTTATATTTATTTCAACAAAGAAGAATTTAAATGAAATAATTTAAAATCTATTTAAATTACATTTATTTGCTTTGTAAGAACTGCGATGGACAATAAAACCAATAATAAATTTTAATATAATAATACGTATTAGTGTTAATGATGCATAATAATAAGAAAACATACATTTTCTTTAAGAATATTTTTCTTCTTGTCTATAATTTTTTCCGACTATGTGATTATTATTTTATGGGTAGAAACCTTATAAATGCACACGCCTCGATAGTATAACTTTAAGTTAATAAAAATAACACAAAAAAGTACATATTAAATATTTGGTAAACACACTAAAAAAAATTGTAGTAGTATATATATATATATATAACAGTAAAAGTTATTCTATAGATAATAGTATATAACATTTATTTGTAAATATTTCAAAATTTTTTAATGAGTATATTAGATATATAATTTTTACTTATACAATATTTAAGTTAATAGTACAAATTATATATTTAGATCTAAGACTATTATATCTACTCTAATGTAGATGATTATTTAGTACTGTTCAACAAAAAAAAAACTTAATAATCTTCGCTGGTTGAATTCTATATAATCAGAAAAAGTTAAAAAAAATTTGGTAAATAATAGCTCACAACTTTACTTCGTGAAGTAACGGTCAAAACTAGGTTAGGTTAAGTTAATGTGGTAAATTTTGTAGACAAACTCATGGATTCTTGGACTCTTGGGTCCATTGTAATAACACTGCCAAAAGCAGCAAATAGTGTTTTCAATCTAGTTATAAAACTTAACAGTTCTGATGCCTTTTACGTGAGACCCGTTAAAATTTATGGCCGAAGTCTGATTCACATTTTCAACTCAGCTTCCTGAATCAATCTCTAAGAACGGCCTGAGGCTGATTAACTTCGAGCAGCACAAAACACCAAATTCTCCCATCGAGACGTTTATAAGGCTCTCTCCTTAATTCATGATGTGACTCTTTTCTGATCAATCAACACAAAATTATATTAATCACTTCGTGATTGAGTCAAGACACGCTTCAAGTATGCTAACCGTATGTTGGTTTCGTGTTCGAAACATCGATTTGGAACACTAGCTTGTTCCAGTCAAGATACGGTTGCGGTTTAAAAGCGCTAACAACACACGTATATACAATAAACTTGACATCGCTGATTCAATAATCAAACCTTCTGTTGCGATAATACCGGTAGATAATGAAGTCATATCTCTTCCTCAATATGCGCTACGATGAAAGATCACTAGGTTTTCAACGTTCTCCTCGACGAATTCAATGGTATAGTTACGAGGGTCGCCAAGCGAATACTGTGAAAAACGCAGTATTTGTTTGGAAGAAAGAGAAGCACCTTTTCAAACGGAAGAAATGTGATCAAAAAGGCACAAGTGAGAGGAAATCGATATGTTTAGAAATAAAAATGATACTTGTAAGTTTTAGCATTTACTCATCCGCTTGACTGGAGACTTTAAGGCTGGGTCATCCAACTGTAAGGACGAGAATGATCATTTGGTTGCATATACAGAAAATGGAAGAAACATTTCCCGAAACTGCTATCTGGCGATAATAACATCATTCTCGCCTCTGGAGAAATGCATTCGAAGTACCCAATCGAAAATAATAATCTATCTGTAGAATCATTCAAGGTAGAGGCGGTGTACTGGTAGTGACCATTCATCAGCTAATATGCACAACATGTTCAGAAGAAAGCATGACGGATACTGAATCCATTAGTCTGTACTTAAATATCGTCTAATTTACCGTTGGGACCTAAATTCATTAAACCTATTGTGAGTCTGTTTAAAGATTATAATGAAACGAAGTATTTTTGGTTTATAGAAAAAAAATATAGTGACTTAAGTGAATTTGAAACTTCCATTCCGGTCAATACATTTTGTATATTATGTACTTATATAATATAATACTATATATTATATCATGCGGCAGTTCATATAACCCACAATATTTATTTAGAGATAAGCATAACTCGTGTCTAATGCTACTTGTTAAGTTGTATTTAATACTTGTAGCTTTTATTAGTACTCGTATAGTCCTGAGATTTTGAGATTTTCTTATATTAACTTAACTGTTTCAATTAAGTATTGTAAGAGTTTTTTTTAGTAGTCTTAGTCTACAATTCTCTTTCTTATGGAATGATTTAGGTATCAATTAGTAAAGTACTTGACTTTAATAATAAAAAAGAAATACAAGTTATAAGTTACATTGCTATATTACAATTATTTGACAAAACAAAACTAAGTTCAGTTGGCTTCTGGTTTTGCGCTAAGGAAGCAAGATTGAGGTTATAATTAATTTTCCTATCTATTTTTCATACGACCCTCTGGCTGGCTACGCTTTATGCTTATAGATTTCCGTATAACTGCTGAAGTCTCACCATGGTCTACCGCAACAGTAAACAGGGGTAAGACTACCTTTTAAAGTAAAAATTGAATATATTAAAAATCCATATCGACATTAACCTGAATATAGGTGTAGCTTATAATTAATTTCATTATCTCTTTCTCTTAATATCACTTTTTCTTTACCTAATTCCATACAATCCAAATCTCACTTTTCTTCGTTATATTTTCATCGTAAAAAAGTATATGTTAAAGACTAACTTTTGAAGTTAGAATTAAATATATTGAGATAACACATAGACATTACCCTGAATATTGATGTAGGTTATAATTAATGTTCGTATATCTTTCTTTTTCTTTACCTTATATTTCACATTCCAAATCCTACTTTTTATCGTTTTTCCCCACCATTACGAGCACTTAATATGTTATGTTGGCTATACTTCCTGCTTCTTACACTCTCTTATAACTGCTGAGGCCCTAGTAAAGCTTACAACAATAACAAAAAGAAAGTTAATATAGATAATCTCCCTATCTCTTTCCTCCGTATCCACCATACACCATACCATACCTTCTCTATATTTTATTTCCCACATTCCAAATTCCAGGTTACATATCTATTTCTACCTATTATGAGCCTATGGCATATAAGGCTGGATGTGCTTTTTGTCTATTAAATTTCCCTATAACTGCTGTTATATCACATTGGTCTATCACAACAACTAGAAGAGGCAATAATATCTAAAACACTAAAATTTTTGAAATTAAATTTTCAGAACGTATTAATATATGATTATTGAGATATCAGATTAATATTTCAAAGTATGTTTACGAAACAAAGTGATATATAATATATATAATATATCGCTATTAATCCTTAAAAAACATCACACAAAGTGGTAAATATTTAATGCAATTTTTACAGTGTATAAGACATAGACACATACATATGTACTGTAGTTCTTGAGTCTATATTTATTTCAGTTAATAAATAATTACTTTTTTATTATTAGTATATTTTAAGGTATTTTTATAAATATTAGGAGAATATTTATTATTATGTATTGGTTTGACTGTTATATTTCCAATTGTAATTCAATTAACAAATGTGTGAATTCAACGCATTATCTTAGCAAATGTATCAATTTGTCAGGTTTACTTACGAGTTTATTGCTAAATAGAACACTAACGACTGCTAATAGATTAAATTAGGAAGAGGGAGTAGGGAACGTACACATATGAATTGTTCGAAATATTGAAATATTTTTGCGTTGTCATAAAATAATATAAGCAGCAAACGTTAAAATCGTTGAAATAATAAAAGCGAAAAATATCAGTGAAACCTGAAAGACAATTTATGAATAATAGAAATGCTTGGAACGTTGCAGAATAACTAAAACTACCTACTCTATTCTGAGGGGTGGTGAGTTTTTGGCAGTCGTTCCGGTGGTTTTACCTTTGGTCAAGACTGCCTTGCCGTTGGACTTTTTTGCCCCAGTTTTTTTGCACTCCGACTAATTTAAATTTGTAGACAAACAACTGTCAATCAAAACATAGCTTATTTATTCCGTTATGCCAATGAATATTAGTTTGCCTACAGTGGCACACTACCGGGTGGGGGTAGTACGCGCAGTTAGTTAGCAGGTAACCGACTGCTGGACTGTCAGCTTATAGCAAACATTTGCGTTTCGGTTCTCGAACGGTTGATGGACACTAAAAGCGGAAAACAATTTTAAACTTTTCATTCGGCGTTTTGATTTCAAACGGAGCGAACGTTTCGAAATTTTGCAACAACTCATAAAATTAAAAGTTTACTTAAATTAACAAATTACCTACAAATTTATTCAAATCGTCTTAAAATTTAAATTCGTTGTCTTGGGAAATAAAGAGGAGTTTTGTACTTAACATTTGACTTCAGTTTTTTCCTTGAAGATGGCCGATGGTGTGATAAAGAGTTTCGTTCGGGATATTTTTGCGGTTAGTTAAGTGTGGACTTTAAAAGTTAGATTACTATTGAAATTCTAAAATAAAATAAAATTTAAAATATAATTTTGTGTTAATAGAGAAATTTTAATAAGTTATTATTTGGGGAGATTAAAAAGTACTACTTCTTTAAAAGTAAGAAGGATTCAAACAGCAAAAAAAAAAAAAAAAAAAAAATAAAAAAAAAAAAAATAAAAAAAATAAAAAAAATAAAAAAAAAATAAAAAAAAAACAAGATAAAATAAAAAAAAATAAAAAAAAGCTTCTTTGTCTTCATAAGAAGCGTAGCTTATAGAAGAAATAATTAAGTTTAAAAAAGTTACTTCTTTAAAAAATTTAAAAATATACACAAATACATTTAAAGAAGTACACCTCTTCATTTAAGTATCTAAATAATTTAAGTAATTACTTAAAGATAACCCATTATCTTTAAGTAATTACAGATGGACTGAATTCTTGGTTTTTATGTTAACTATTTGCATTAACTATTTACATTAATTAACGGCTAATAATATAATTATTATAATCATGATTTTTTAATTTTTTTGATTTACCAAATTACACGTCCGTTATTAATAAAATATTAGGTGTAATTATTAAACTATAAAGATAATGATAATAAAGGTAGTGACAATAAAGATAGTGACAATAAAGATAGTGACAATAAAGATAGTGACAATAAAGATAGTGATTGAAAGACAGTGATTTCAATCGTAAAAATTGTTTGTAGTGGTTTAATTAATAAAACTATATATAAGGACATACGAGTCGTTGCAATTTTTATGTCCTTCGGCAAGAAATCTATTTTCAAATAAAAAATGAATAACCTGAAATTATTGAATCCAAAATTTAAATGTTCTAATAAAGTATGTGCTTTGAGAGAGCATACAACTATTTCGGATACCTTAAAATATCACTACTTATTTTATTCTTATAAAACTAATTCTTCCTTATTAAAATATTTTTAGACTTTATAGCTGTGTTTTTTTAATTTTTTTAAATTTATATCAGTTTTAATATTCCATATAATATATTATATAATATGATAGAAATAAGACATTTAGTCACAGCGTTGTGACTTCCCAGATTTGTTTTGGGCCAAGAAGAAGATGTTTGTGCATGAAAATATACTTTCATGTGATATTGAGAATTTCTAAACAAGTGATTTTTTGACTTATATTCGTAAGGTAAGGTATATGTGACAGCATATCTTGAGAGCGGTTCATTAACGCCCGAGACTTGGTACCCATTGTGATATTATAATTTCACAATGTGAAACTGACCATTGTGATACCAAATATTATATATATTAAATTTGATTTTAACGTCAGTTATGATGGTTGTGACTATTTTACTTACTGGAAAGTTTTGTATTTTATAGAGAGGTTTCAACCAGTAGTGAATTGTAACAACAAAATTTGTATTTATTTTTTATTAATAAAATTTTTGAATTTTTTGAATATATATATACGCATATTTGGTGGATACGTGTAATACCTGTATTATTTTTGATTTGCGAAGTTAAAATATACTGTACTTATAGCCATTTTTACTGAATCTGAAGAGACTCCCAAATCAGATATATTTTAACTAAATTAGAATGCGATGTGCCACTTTTGGCTAAATGATAGGTTTTAGAGTTGTCAGGACATAGTAAATAATGAATTATTTTTTCGGACCCCCATCATGACATGACAACTTCTACAAAAATCTTTACTAAGATTATTTAACTTTGTGTATACATTTCAAGTAATGACTTATTATGTTTAGAAAAGTTCAAGCAAACATTGTCTCTTCTACTTATTTCCTGTGCTGTCTTGTTCTTAATGCTAAAGTGCTCTAGGGTGCAAGGCTATTTTATAGGCATTTGTTATTGTCGCAGTGTCTTTATTCGCCTACAGGCTCCAAATTTTTCAGAACGGCTCAGCCTCTCTCGTTAAAACATCTAGATCACCACATAAACTTTGTATTATCTCTATTATTGCAAGTAATTGAATATCTCTGAGAATAAAAATATCACTATACAATTTCGTATTACACCCTACATTACAATGGTGGGGTAGGTAAAAGTTATAATTTCTGAAGTTGTTAAAGTTATGAGGGCTGTTTGATAAGTTTGTGATAAGTAAAATAACGCGTTGAATTTTTGGAAAGTTTTAAATTTATTATTTAATATAAATAGTATTCAAAGAAATAGTATTCCTTGCGATTCTAACAGAGACTAGTAATACCGGTAGTAGAGATAATGCCTGAATTCGATGGGAATTTATTTTCAGGAAGTAATTTTTTCAAATTTGGAATAAATTAATAGGATCTCGTGATGTTATTCGAAATTTTTTTTTTAATTACATCGTATAATTGGTCTAAAAGCGTCAAACATAATTAAGCTGTCTGCATTCCAAATAACAAAATCTATAAGCTATTCCTGTTTACTGAACCTGTCTTTGCTTTTTACTTTGTTTAAGACACATTTTTTTTTTAACAATTATTTATTTCAATTCTTGCAATTCCGCCAAACAGCAGAAGGTGAAATTTAGAAGGGTGTAAAATTCCCATAGGGAAAATTTCGATACTACTCATTAACTGTCATTATGTTTAAGGGATTTTTTTTTCAAATACATTTTTTTAACATAGGAAATGTTTTTTTTTAATTTTTGTAAATTCAAGGGTGTAAGGATCCCATAGGGAACACTTTCGATATTATTCATTCAGCTGTCTTTTTGTTTAAGTGTTCAAATATTTATTTTTCAACCTAAAAAATCCTTTTTTTCTTTTTTGTAAATTCACCAAACAGCAGAAGCTTCTATATTAAAGTAATTTTGAAGGGTATAAAGTTCCCATAGGATATTATTTTGATATTAGTCAATAAGCTATCTTCTTGTTTAAGGGACTTTTTTCAAATATTTTTTTCCAACATGAGTAATCATTTTTTCTAAATTTTTGTAAAGTCACCATATGAAAAAATTTCGAAGACCTCTGTGACTGTCTAGCTTTAATCTGAATCAGGAGAATAAAGACATACGACTCCTTCAAGAAAGCCTAAATGACATCTATGGAGGATTTTATGGAGGATAATAAATAATTATTAGAAAATCCCCCATAGATGTCATTTAGGCTTTCATTGAAGGAGTCGTATGTCTTTCTTCTCCTGATTCAGATTAGAGCTAGTCTAATGTCTTTTAATAATTTGGGTTTCGGCTATATACAAAATATGTCTTATTATCGTACTGCTTCGCACATTGGAAGCCTGTACCTTCTTTGTATTTAATACTCTCTATACTAGTGCAGTTATCACCAATTTATCTAACAGCTCTTGAGAATTATAATTATATAAAAATATTTATATGTAGTATCTATTTTTAAAATGGTTTCCATTATTATTAAATTTCATATAAAAATATAAAAAGGGAATATTTTTTTCAGTGTATTTATTATTTTCCTGAAAGTAACGAAAACATAACTGACCTTGCATATACTAGAAGGAAGGAAAAAATCTCCTGTGAGACCCAACACTTGCTGCTGCACTTGAAAATGTTGTGCGCCATATAAGATATACACTTTCCGGCTTTTGGAAAATGTGGGAAAAGTAAAGAAAGTAAAAATATTTTACTTTCTTTTTGTGTACTGAACTGTGAGAAGAAATTTTGTATTGAGCGACTATGTATGTATGGTTAATCTAAGCGGATAATTCCTACTTATGTGCGCGTTGTATTTCAAAGCTCGCACACGACTGCAGCTAATCCTTGTTGGAATTTCAATGTTAAATTTTTCGATAAAGGTTAAAATATTAGCTAATTTATAAATAATACTATATTCACTGTGAAATTGTTGAAAGAATGTAAAAATCAATTGCGTTCAATGAATGAAGTAAGTTTTTCCGTTGTGGTTATTGAATTTTTAGGTTGGCCTTGCATTAAAGGTTCATATTTTGTACATATGTATGTATATATCTTTCACAATAGATTTTTAACAAACAATATTAATGTTTTTATTTGGGGCAGTAATTTGTTGTTTAGTCGTCGGTGCGATTATTTACCTTTCAAAGTCAAAATATCTATACACTTGGTTATATTTAAATTATGTTCCCAATGACGCAAAAAAGGTGCTACAATAATTTATAAATAGAATAAAATGTAAAGAACTTCCTAAATCTATATTATTTTTTATTTTCAATTACAGATAAAATATAATCCAAAGACACATGATCCAGAATCAAAGCGTATCGATGGCGGAGGCTGTTGTTATCCAAATTGTGCCTCAGATGTTTGGCTGCGTTCATGTGAACGTGAAATTATTGAACCGATTGAGGGACATGTCGACGGACACATACCAAAATGGTTAAATGGCAGTTTACTACGTAATGGACCGGGTAATTGGAAAGTTGGAGATATGAGCTTTCAACATTTATTTGATTGCTCAGCGTTGTTGCATCGTTTTGCTATTAAAAATGGTCATGTTACTTACCAGAATCGATTTATACAAACAGAAACATTGAAGAAAAATTCGACTGCTCAACGTATTGTTGTGACGGGATTTGGAACAGCTTCTGTACCGGATCCATGTCACTCGATATTTGATAAGTAATTTATTATTCGTTTGTGTAATTTATATAATTCTTAATATTTTTACTATTTTACTATTTTTACTATTTTTACTAAACAGAGTATCAGCAATTTTTCGACCAGATAGTGCATCCGATAATACTATGATTTCTATATATCCATTTGGTGATGAATATTATACGTTTACAGAAGCTCCAATTATACACAGGTAAGATTGTTTTGTGTATTTCTTATGCAAGGCTGCGGTAAACTCCACGTAGACCACCTATGGGTCCATTGTATTAATCTGGAAGACTTGTTTTAAGTTTCTTCCTTTTTTAATGATTTGTTCCTTGGTGACATAAATTTCTAGTAGCTCTTCGGGGTTTTCAAAAAATGGTTATCTAAGAATTGTAGCCTTTCATCTTGTTAGGACTAGACATCTGCGTAGTAGATAAGAGATTCTTTTCTTTTTCGTTATCTTCTCGGCCAGTACTCTAAGTGCATGACTGGCTTTTCACAATGACCGATTACAAGGGATATGCTAGATGAGTGCCCGGCACTAATGCACAAGCGGAAGAAACACCTAGGAGAGTATTTCATGGACCATAAAAATTCAAGAAAGGTTGGCTTTATATTTCACCCGAGTAAGGGGCACAATAGATCTTTTAGTGTATAATCCTTTCTTTTAATAATAATAATAAGGGATATAATGTTGGCGATTTCGGTTCTATTCAAATTAGTTTTCTAATTGCAAATCTATCTAATTTGAACATCCATCTATTTGTTGTTTGTATAATTTTTTCAAAGTACGAAATCTAGGTTTGATTACTATGATTTAATATTATTTTGTATTTGGAAAATATTAATATAATACACATTATCAGTAAGATGTCTAGGAGAAGTGGTATAGGGAGAGATCCCCTTTGACATTATAATTTACTGATAATACACACATTTCCAAAAAAATGTTTTCTATTCACTGCATACTCACTAGATGCAATTAATGTTTACTAACTGCTCATCTTAAGTTTTGAAACTATCTTCAAACTTTCTTACGTTAAGAAGGGTAGAGAAATCCTTTTACTTTGTTTCTCACTTTTATATTTAGGCGCTTTATAGCAACTTTTTTGGGTTATTGTAGCATTAATGCAGAAATCGTTTATTTGTTTCTTTCTTATTCACATTTTTTACTAAAATTTCTCTTTATAGCTGCTCGAAGAGCAAAAATGCAGTGTGAATGCACACTTAAGTTTGTCGTGTGAATAACATATAATATAGATTTTTGTTTACAAAATTAGAAAAGTAGAAAAATAGATAATAAAAGTTTAATCTTCCAATACAGTAGAATAATTTGATTATAATAGTCTTTTTGAACTTCAACAGTTAATAACTGGACAGAAAATATTTTGACTGTTGAAAGAAAGCCACAATATTTTTCATAGACATGTTTCTTATTATAGGCGGGGTTAAACACTGTCAACTCAGTTTTGTTCTACTGATCTGTAGAAAAGCCGGGCAATCAAAAAGTTTCATATATGCGTAACAACAGCATTTTCTAAAACTATTTCTTGAAAGTAGTAGAGCTAATATACTTCATAGGTACATTTTCAATCACATATAGATTTTACTTCATAGATATCTTTTACTTTAGAAATACTATATTTATACTTCACTTATAGGTTTTTCTTCACAGATACTTTTTACTTTACTAATAGATTTTACTTTACAAAAAGATTTTTCTTTACAAAAAGATTTTTCTTTTCAAAAAGATTTTTCTTTGTAAATAGACTTTTCTTTACAGATAGATATTACTTTTACAGACAGATTTTTCTACACAAAGAGATATTTTTTCACATAATTAATAAACAATGGTCTTAATACCACATATGTTATTTTTAATTCAAAATTATTAATTCAATTAATTAGAGTTATAAAATATTAAAAAAATAAAATTTAAAAAAAAAAATTTAGACTTGGGCTCGTCCGGGATTTGAACCCGGGACCTCCCGCACCCTAAGCGGAAATCATACCCCTAGACCAACGAGCCAGTTGGAATACTTTTGTCCAATATTGATGTAGTGTTTGGAAAGCACCAGTAAAGATATTAATCCAATATGTATGTGTGGAGTTGCCAACACACTGTAAAAAATCACCAACACTGTTATAGCTTATAGATTATTTTAAATGAGTGTATATTTAAAAATTAACGTCATATAAATTTAATTAAAATTTAGACATATGCCATTTAATTTTATAAGATATTTATTTATATATATGTATCTATATTGTTTTTATTAATTTTTGTGGTAGTCTGTATAATTTTTGTGAGTGTTGTCATAGAAAATATCTATAAAGTGATATAATAAATTATATCATATTTATGGACAAGTAAAAATATGCAATTAGAAAAAAATAAAAATATAATTAAATAATTAGTTGAACTTCATTTATAAATGATTAAAAATGTTATATATATATATTTGAAGAAAATTATAAGATAAAACTAAGCTATAAATATTTGTTGAGATTTTATTATTTATTTACTATTTATTGATTTTCGATTTATTTATTATTTATCGATTTAAAATTTAATGATTTACTATTTATTTATTATTTATTTATCATTTGTTTATTACTTATTTATCATTTGTTTATTATTTATTTATCATTTATTTATTACTTATTTATAATTCATTCATAATTTAGTCATTATTAATTTATTATTTATTTGTCATTTATTTATTATTTATTTATTATTTATTTATCATTTGCTTATTATTTATTTATCGTTTATTTATTACTTATTTATAATATATTCATGACTTATCCATTATTTATTTATTATTTATTTATCATTTATTTATTATTTATTTATTATTGAGTTATTATTTATTTATTATTTATTTATAATATACTTATAAATTATTTATTGTTTATTTAATATTTATTTATTATTAGTTTATTAATTATTTATTAGTTACATATCATAATTATTTTAATTTATTATTGACTTTCTATTTGTTTATTATTTATTGATTCACTATTTATTCATTATTTATTACACATTTTTCATTTATTTATTTATTACATATTTTTTATTTAGTTATTTATTACTAATTTTTAATTATTTTTTATTTATTATTTTTTTTGTTTATTATTATTTTTTATTTATTATTTTTTTTTATTTATTGTTTTTTTTATTTATTATTTTTTTTATTTATTATTTTTTTAATTTATTATTTGTTTTATTTATTATTTTTTTTATATATTATTTTTTTTATATATTATTTTTTTTATTTATTATTATTTTTTATATATACTATTTTTTTATTTATTTTATTTTTTTTTATTTATTATTATTTTTATTTATTATTTTTTTTATTTATTATTTTTTTTTATTTATATTTTTATTTATTTATTTTTTTTATTTATTTGTTTTTATATATTTTTATTTATTTGTTTTTATATATTTTTATTTATTTTTTTTATTTATTTTTTTTATTTAATTCTTTTATTTAATTCTTTTTTATTTATTTTTAATATAATTATAGATTTATTTAAAAATATAAAACATAATAATTTGAAGCTGTTTTGTATGAACAGATATATCTAACAAATTTTTGTTCATTTCCCGACTACACTGGTTTTCACAATAAATCTATACTGTTCATATGATTGGAATAGTCACTGGGACTTTATCGACTTACATTTAGGCAGAGGATGTATACTATGTAAAATAAATTGTAAATTACAAAAAAAAATTGTGACTTGGGCTCGTCCGGGATTTGAACCCGGGACCTCCCGCACCCTAAGCGGAAATCATACCCCTAGACCAACGAGCCAGTGTTTGTACGCGATTCAAAATGTGTATTTAAGTGTTCAATAAAATAAAAAGTTATTAATGGATTTATTTGTAGTTTAGAGTTTTTTGATTGTTTTGGGGCCAAGTTACATTAGAAGTACTCCAGCTTTATTGACACATCGCTGTTTATATTTAATTATATACAATATAGTATATTAACTCATTACTATTGTCAATAGTTTAAAATAGTGAGAACAATTTGAAAGTTTATTTTAGATTAAGTCTATTTTATGTTGTGTTTAGACTACTTAACTTAACTCGGTAAAGTAATATGTGTCATTATTCATTCAAAATCCACACCAAAGCTATATGAATCCATATAAAAATATTCTAAAGAGGTTTAATTAGACGTAGTGTAAGCTTAGTATTAGACAATTGACATTAGCTTTAATAAATAATATCTCTTTTTATTTTCAGAGTAAATCCTCGGACATTGGCAACTGAAGCACGGGTATGTGTAAGCGATTTTGTTGGTGTTATAAATCATACATCTCATCCACATGTTTTACCAAATGGTACAGTTTATAATTTGGGTATGGCCGCTTCTAGATCAGGACCAACATACAATATAATTTGCTTTCCACACGGTGAAAGTATGTTTGAAGATGTTTATGTAGTGGGGAGTGTGCCATGTCGTTGGAAACTACATCCTGGTTATATGCATACATTTGGTAAGATTTCTAACTTCATTATTAAATGCTTATATAATTACCAATGTAATTTCTCTTAATTTCAGGTATAACCGAAAATTATTTCGTAATCGTAGAACAACCCCTTTCCATATCATTAACAGAATTTGTTAAGGCTCAAATCTACAATCAAAATTTATGTTCATGTTTAAAGTGGTTTGAAAATAAACCGACATTATTCCATCTAATGGAACGTAAAACTGGTAAAGTTCGTTACACTTTCCATTCGGAGGCATTCTTTTATTTACATATCGTGAATCAATATGAGGAGGATAATCATGTGGTTATCGACATATGTTGTTACAAAGATCCTGAGATGATAAATTGCATGTATTTGGAATCCATTATGAATATGCAAACAAATCCTAATTATGCATCTTTGTTCCGTGGTCGTCCCTTACGTTTTGTATTGCCATTAGGTAGTAATATAGATGTTCCTACTACTGAACGTTGTGGTAGTAGAAAAAAGCTTGTGAAATCTTTTTCTCTCTCTGGAATTAGTGCACGTTTACAGCAACCTAAACTGAAACATTCAGAATCTCAACATGAGGATGTTACTTACATAGCCACAAATAGAAAAGAACAAATACAAATTGGTGGTTTAAGTGAACAAAATTTGTCAAATGAATCCAAACAAATTAATTACGAAAAACTCGTTAATTTGGTTACACTCAAAACTACGAAAGCAGAGGCCTATCAAATGTCAGATCGTACTATCTTTGTACGACCAGAGTTGTTGTGTGATTTAGGTTGTGAAACTCCACGTATTAATTATGAGAGATTTTTAGGTAAATCTATTTAAATAATTCACAAATTGATATGATATTAATATATATATAATATTTTACTATTTGTAGGTAAAAAATATCGTTACTTTTATGCTATTAGTTCCGATGTAGATGCCGACAATCCTGGAACGGTATGCTAAATATTATGTTGTTTGAATGTTGATTAATCTTTTTAAATTTTCTTTTTTATATAGCTTATAAAGGTAGATCTATTTAATAAAACTTGTCAAACATGGTGCGAAAACAATTGTTATCCTAGTGAACCGGTATTTGTGGCAGCCCCCAACGCACAATTTGAGGATGATGGCGTCGTGCTAGCTTCAATGGTTTGGGGTGGCTTAAAAGATAATTATGTAGGACTATTAGTGCTATGTGCCAGAACGTGGACTGAATTGGGTCGTTGTGAGTTTCATGCAGATGGTCCGGTACCTAAATGTTTGCATGGTTGGTTTGCCAAGGATATTGTTTAAAGTAGTAGTTTTATTTTATACAAAATAATATGTATTTGTTATAATAGTTATTTTTTCTAAATTATCTTACTAAAAGTAATACAAATAAAACTATATAAATATAGTAACAAATGTATATACTTGTTATTATAGTTTTTTAAAATAAGTATTTTAAAATTGTAATAATTTTTTATTTTTTTAATATATTAAAATATATAATATAATTAAAAGAATATATAAAATTTATAAATTAAAATTTTAAGTTAACAACATTGTAAATAAATTCATCCCATTTCTTTTTAAATACTCGATTGATTTTACGACGCTCCTCTGATGTTAATACTGAATACCTATAGATAAGATAATATTTTAACATTTTTCTATTAAATTATAAATTAAATTATTGTTACTTTATAGAATTAAGTGCCAATTGTTTCAGAAATCTTAAATCAGCTTCAGCTGGTGCTAAAGACATAAATGCATAATAGAAGTCATAACTTAAGCCTTTAGCATTCCAAACGCCTGGATAATCGGCTGAAATAATGATAGGAAAATTTTCTGAAATTAGAAATGCGGCAGGATGATTCCTTAAATCCCATACGTAACCCATTATTTGATTCGCTAATGGATTAACTTCAATTGCTATATTTCGTTTTTTGATTGTTGACCATAATTGTGGATGTTTTGCCACCGCAAAGCCGTGACCAATACGTTTAGTATTTAAAAGTAATGCATCCACTAGATTCCAATCAGTTTTTCCATGCCAATCTATTGATGTTCATATGTATATTATAAAGATATTTATGCATAATGTTGACAATTGTATGTAATTCTAAATATATTTTATTTATATGTAATAGAGATATTCTTAATAGAGATATTTTTAATAGAGATATTCTTAATAGAGATATTTTGAATAGAGATATTCTTAATAGAGATATAAAATATGATTTTATCTACACTTACTCGTTTCACCGGCGTGAAAGAAAAAGTTTGCAGTGGGTGGCATATCATTCAGTTCATTGACAAATTTGTGCAATGGATCACCTAGGTCTTCATTTCCAATTAAATCGAAACCAATGATGAAATTAGGTTTAGCATCGCTGTGCAATAAAAATTATTAAAAAAATTTAATTATTTGAAATTAAAATATTTTAAGTATATAAAAATAATTACAATTTATTTTCGTATTAAAATTTATTTACAATCTATTAACTGAGTTCAGTTATTATGTAAAAGAAATAGCTGAACCCATCGGTACAGCTATTTTACGTACCCCAAATGTTATTTATTATATAATGAATTAATATACTTCACAAGTACGTTTTACCAGTTAAAGATAAAGATAAAGAAAATCTTCAGATAAAAATTTTACTTCACAATTATATTGTAACCCAAGCACATATCTCACACATAGATTTTTCTTCAGATATAGATATTATTTGATAGATAGGTTTTCTTAAAATATGGTTTTTTTTAAGCATTTAGGCATAGGTTAGACATAGATTTTTCTTTAGAGAAACATTTTTTTTTTTAAAAAAAGATCTTTCTTTGGAGATAAATTTTTCTTTACAGATAGGTTGTTCTTCACACTACTAATAATGTTCATCTCACTAATGTAGAAAATGAAAAGTAATACTATAAATAATTATCTTTTGTAAAGCAGATCCAGTACATTATATTTTTTATTAATAAATTATTATTAATAAATTAATTAATTAATAATTATTTTGTTGTCTTTTTCTTTCAAAGCTTATGATGTAGATGTGCAACATTACCACATATTGGAAGTTAATACCACACAGCTATTCGGTTTTCACTTTATATTTTACCTATTTTATTACCTAGAAGTCAGGAAGAAAGAAAATTTGTGATATCTTTTTGTGATATCGTAGCTGAATAATTTTATTCATATATATATAAGCTTACCATTAGCTTATGTATACCTACTAGATGTTTCTTTAATAACATTTTATCTGTTTTATTTAATGCAAATCCTTAATTCCCTCTCTCCTCTAGTCTTGATTTTGTAACTGTATATCTTTATCACGGTCTGTTAGCTGACACCTCACACCACTCGATTCTGACTTCATAATATCTCACTAATTTTACTTTCTACTAACCAGGAAGAGAAAAAAGTTCATCTCTGTTCTTCTTGTGATATCGTAACTGAATAATTTTATCACTCTCTGTTATCCTATACCCAATACCCACTCAGTTCTTATGTTGTTACATCTTCGATATATTATTCAAAACTCATCATTATTATCCTCTTTTCTATTCTTGTGATGTTGTAACTGAATCTCTATCGCTTACTGCTTAAACTCTATATCTACATTTTGCCTTTATTATTTTCAACAAACCATTATCTACCCCTGGTTACTTAAAAACGGAGGACTAACCTCAACAACAAACCCTATTGCTTATATACTTATATAAGTCAACTGTGTAACTAAGGTTCCTTCCTATGCTCAGCATTAATTAATTAAACCAAAAAAGAGTGTATACATAATTGAATAGTCTGCTTAATAAATATATATCAGTGTATATTAGTTGGAATTTATAAATAATTTAAATTATTTATAAGAAAGGTTTCTTAATCGATATTAATAAATTTATAAAATATGTTCCTAGATCAGGCGATACCTACTGTAATTGTTTAAAAGTTACAAATCGTTGTGCCATTTCGTCTACTGTAGCTTTATTTGGTTTTGAATAGATAATTTTAACACCTACAAAGTCTGGATGCCTTGCTTTGAAACCTTCTACAATACGTTCCAGTTCGTTAGCTACTTCTAGTGTATTATATGTATGATTATTGTCTCCATAAAGCTGAAATTGAGAAATGTTATTAAAAATTTATCTAAATTTAATATAATAATATATTATATACTATGAAATACTAACCGGAGCCAATGAGGTTCTTATCTCAGCATATATAATGTTATCCTCGCACAATTCTTCCAATAATCGCTTGTGGTAGGCACAGTAGGTAGGCATATATTTCAAAAAATTTTCAAGTGTTACAAAGATATTGTCGAACCTTTCCCAAATCTTTTTAGTGTCACTTATCAAAGCTTTATATGTAAATTATTATGAGATAGAAAAAAATTTATATTGGATAAAAATACATATGTTCAAATAATATATATATAATACATAATTATATACATTTGCCGGCATTAGTTAAAAATAAGAAAATATTGTTATTAAAATAAATAAAAAAATATAAAACAAAATATAAAATAAAAGATATGTGTAAAAATATGAAATAAAATAAAAAACTTTTTAACAAAGATTTAAAGTATAATAATTTTTAATTATTTAAATAAAAAAAAATTAAAGATCAAGAAAGTAATAATAATGAATATACGATAAAGTAATAAAAATAAGAAGTAAAATATTAATAGATCTAAGATAAAAACTATATAATAAAATATACTTTAGTAGAATCCAGAATCCGTAAATTAAAGAATAAAATAGAAATTAACCGGGTACTGGCTCCAAACCGAGTGGAGAATTGTAATCATGGTACATATTTTGTTTTAAAAAACTGACTGTAGCTGAACACACGATACTCAGCTCTTCGAATGAAATACAAAATGTCATCTGTTAAAGATTTTCTAATATCAAATGGGAGTGGGATATATTGGTCGAGTGTTCTTCTTCTGGTTCATAATAAGGCCAAACAGTTTCAAAGGATATGAATGGGAGTGGGAGATATTGGTCGAGTGTTCTTCTTCTGGTTCATAATAAGGCCAAACAGTTCCAAAGGATATGAATAGAGCTCTTATCTTTTTCAATTCTATCTTATTGTGATGGAAGCACAGGCCATTGTGACCCGTTAGATAATACTTAAACACGCCTAGCTTTGTTTTATTTATATACCTATATCCAAAAATTACTCTTTGTATATTTCGATGTCTGGATTTTAGGGTTTCAATGATGAATTGAAAAATGAGAATTTTTAGGAGGGAAATTATTTAATTCAAAGAACATTTTAAGAAATGGGATTAAGTTAACATTAAAGACTATTTTCTGATCTCTTTGATTGTAATGTCGAATTCTATTTTGAGTTTTGGTTTTGAGATATACATATATTGCATATATATATAAAAGATATGACATTATATGTTAATTAACTCTACATAAGTAAATGTATTTTTTTTAGAGCTAAAGTACAGTTTTAGAAACTATTGGTAGAATTGGTAAATAGATTTAAAGCATGTAAGTGAATTTAATTAATAAAAAATTATATATGTGTACACACATATATAGTAAAATTCATAAATATTAGTTAAAAACACGGATATTTCAGTTTTTAACACGACTTCAAAGCTCCAATAAGAATATATTCAAGAATTTATAAAAAATAAATTTAGATATAGAAACTATTATATTATATATCGGCACTATTTTTCAATTCGGTTTTCTATTTTGCCAATAATCGCTTCTGATAATGAATACTCTTCGATGAACCGTCATACATTGTAATAAATGCATTAAGGTAGGTGAGTTAAATGAAAGGAATGTCGAATCCTTTTCAATTAGCTAAAATGGTGTTTTGATTTCATGAAAGGGTTTGACAGACCCTTTGAAATAAACGTATTTATATATATTCTAATGAAATTATTATTAAATTAACATATCTTATACTTAAATCACTTACATTCTGGATGCATGGTATACATATTAATGTGTTTTTCCAATTGTCGTTCATAAAGACGTTTATCTTCAGCGTTTACACGTTCCAGGCAAACATTTTGGGTCTCACTATGGCATTTCGATTGATCGTAAGTAAAAATCAACAATCCATTAACATTTCGACATGTATATAAATTATTCGATGTGGTTAAATTGCTAATAATCCATTTTGAACTGACCATGCCAATGTTGTGTCCATGAAGAAATGCACCTTTGGGCATTTTTTGTAGAATACGAAAAACTTCACTCTGGCGTAAATATTGCTTTCCTTGGAAAAAATGAATTGCAGGTGGATACTTTTCAGGATTTTTGGCACCATCAGATATCTATTGTGTACAAAAAAATTAATGAGTTTAAAAGTAAAAATTAAGGTTAACTATACCTCCTGTCTTTTGGCATTCATAAGTATAGAGTTGGCTTTTTCTTCGGCTGAGGTTAACCAAAGGCTGCCGCCGAGTGATGATTTTAGTTCCGTTTCTATAATTTTTTCACGCAGTGTTTCATAAGCTGTACAGTGAAAATTACAAATGTTAATGTTTGATTCGTGTGGACTGAGAACTAAAAAATTAAGTTATAAAAAATTATATGTTTGAAGAATTATGTCATATATATTGAGTTGGATTGGGCAAAAAGTATTCGGCGGTTTTTTTTTCCGCTTGATTTTGAAGTGTTATGGCTGGGAAATGATTAGTTACATTAAGTAATTGCTTTTTTTTGTGAAACGTTTTCTTCTTATTGGTGAACACCTTATTAAGAGTAGTGTGTTGTGTTAAAATTGATTGCAAAGTGAAGACGAGTATTTTACAAGTTTATTGCAATATGGGGAAGATTGGTATGTAAAAAGATTTCTTCAGTTTATAGAGAAAGCTTTTTATAACTTAAAAAATATTATTTATCTAATAAAAAATCTATCTAATATCTAACCATTTTAGAGACTGAAGATATCCTTCTTTCGAAAAGATAGAAATCATCATCTAAAATTGCTGATATTAGTTATCATACTTAAAAGTTTCTTTATAGTATTACAATGAGTTTACTTCTTAGGAACTAAGTAAATCAGTTTTCTATGAGACAATATCTATCCATCTATTTAACTATAAATAAATTAATACTTATAATTATAAGTACAAATTCTATAAGTATATCCAGCTGATAGTTGATGTGTGATCATTTTTTGCGACAGTGGACTCATTCACTCTCAGTGGCTAGTTCAAGACCTACATGGCCCCTATACTTCAATTGTAGAATGGTACTTGGTACATAGAAGTAAATCATAAGTATCTAGGTTAATATTTACTCTAACAGGACACTGGACTTTAAGATGACATGTAGGCAAGCTCGGCTTGCCTTGTGGTATCTCCTGTAGTACATATCTACCGTCGCTCGGATAAAACATACCAGAACACTTGTTGTGTCTATGTCCAGGCTTTTCTGGAATTACGCTTAGGCATTTAAGCAAACCATTCTTAAAGACACTCAGCGATATATCTAGCGTTAAAATTAATTTCTTAATTTTTCTTTCTTAGCTAATTTCATTGCTAGTTCTTTCTTAGCTTAATGCTTATTTCTGTAGCTTTCTTTCTTAGCTAATTGAGGAAGATCCCTTCCTTCTTCCACTTTAGCTAACCTATTCATATATATGTTCGTAAGCATGCTGTTATGATCTTAAACGATTTTAATAAAAGAGAAAGCCTAGAAGAAGCTAAGATTGAGTTAAAAAAATTAAAAAAAACTATTTAAACTAATAAATTCAATATCAACTAATAGATTTTATTAGATTCTGAGAGCAATATTATCGTATTCCAGAATAATGTATATATAGCCCAAATAAAAAAGTGAACGAGTACACTTCCATGGAGTTAAGATCCACCAAAACTATCGAGACTTTTCCAGAAAAACAAGTTGATGTCTCGTTTAGCAGAAATCACGCGTTTGAATAATATCGCATGATCCTGCTGTTAATGAAACCAAGCACAGAGGCAGGATACAAGAGGTCGCGTGTGTTAACTTATATATGATGAATACTTATCATATAAACAAAACTTTAATCTATTATTATCCAAAAATATTTAAAATTTTTTTTACACATATATCTTTAGCAAAAGACATATCTTGGCCCAACGGGCTTCGAAATAAAACTCGAAAGACTTGAAACTGTTTTCAAATTTAACTCAAGCACAAAATACCTTTTAAGGGAAGGTTTTTTTAGCTGACTTTTATAATCTTGAACACAAGTCCCTAGCATGTATAAGCCATAAAAATATTTTATTTAAATTATATTTATTTTATTTTTAATAACACAAAAATGTATGCAGAAAATAGGTGGGTAAATAAATATAACTCATAAAAATGCATTTCAATATAAATTTATTGTATAAAACTTAATAATATAAACTTTGCATTGGTGTTCTTTCATGTCCAAAACTAACATAGTTTCCCATTCTCTTCACATAGAATTTTTCAATTTCTATGTGAGTCAATGTCAAGGGCTAAACAATCATCAGATATTTCGCAGATTTTATGTGAACCATAATTTTCAGTGCTACAATATTATTTAAATTTATTTCTATAAATGTTAACAGCAGGGAACTCAGTCAGAATTTAAATTAAATGCATTTATTTGATTACATTTTGAATAATGCACTTCCATTCTAAGTTCAATGTAGGCTATCAACCATGCACTGTTATACATTAATGTGAAAAAAGGATTAGTTCCCATGCAGGGTACATTTTTTGGATGTATTTTTTTACTCATATTTATTTTAATTGTAACTTAAATGTAGAATTTTTTATCAAATATTATGTACTTTTCTTACATAATTCCATAGATTCGCTTAGGTTCATCAATAAAAATATAAACACCAAAACTCTTAACTTCTTCATTTTAGAAGCGTATAACACTTGAATAAAATTTTAATTAAAATAAACTAAAAATACATTAACTATATTAAATCAATTAAAAACACATAAATCCTTCAAGCTTATGATTTTTTTAAATAATATCACTTTTTGCACTTCTGAGTGAACAAAGACCGATATCACTCCGAACAGATTTGCGAATGCAATTTAACTGATAACAAAAATTTCGCACAGCATTATCTGAACAATAAATATCAAAATCGTACTTGTGCGATGTCATCACAAAATTTGTTGCCGAGAGTCATCACAGTTTTAGTTCATTGTCAACAAATTATGAATGACACAATGATGTTTCAGCTGCAACATCATCATCATCGTCAGCAACATTTATTCATGAGACAATAGATGTATTCATGTAGTAATAGTTCGGGGCAAGCCCCATGAGTGGGCGCGCACGTTCTTTATCAATTTCAATTGTCAAGTTCACTAGGCAATTTGTTGTGATATATTTTTATCACTCACATTATCGTTAAATATAGGCTTTTTGTTTGTAAACAAAAAGTTGACTTCTGAAGTGACGTAGTTGAATACAAATTCTGGGACTATTTGCTTGTAGTGATGTTTATAGTAACTAACATATCGATATTTAGAGCAGAAAGCGCAAATAATGATTAAATTTGTTTAAGAAAATTGTATTAAACTCTAAAAGACTTAAAAAATTGATCAACTATTCAACATATATTACTTATATTTCTATTAAAGTATGTAAAAAATACTTACTATAATCATTACTAAAAATTTGGTCAATTGTTTTAACATATAAAAGGGTTATATGGTTATATAGAACATTAACAGCACTCAGGTTCTAGTTTAATACTCGTCTCTTACAGTTCTAGATATTAGATATCACGACTGCAAATAAGAGTTATCCATTCATTTATTTCAAAATTTTAATTAGTAATTTTCTTTAATACGTATCTAGACAACTGGGTATGAGAAGACGTTCTGCACCGAACAATAAATTGGAAATAACTACGTATATAATTACAACTATGAATACTCGAGTCATAACTATCTTTAAGTTAACGGCTCTAAATACTCGTAAAACAACCAGCTTATAGTGGAAGCAAAGATAATGTAATCTCAAATATGTGGTAATGACACCAGGCAGATATTGAAAAGGTAGGGAACTATATCACCACGTGACTGCATCCTTTGAGGATTATTGTGACAACAAGCAGAGATCTATCACATACAGACTATTAAAAAAATAAAACAGATGTTGACAGAAAGAATAAAATCAAACAAATTCTCTGACTTCTAGAGAATATTAGAGAAGTTTTTAGAAATTAATGTAATGATAGAAGATAAATAAAAATAAGACTATCATAATAAGATTATTAGAATAAGACAATCACAATAAAATCATCAAAAAAAAAACTCCTGAATCAATTGATTGATTGCAAGAGATTTTGTACTGAAACTAAATGTCCGTCTATTGTGCTTTCTGTGATCTGTATTGTTTATTAGTTTATTAACAAACTGAAGTGGAACCTGGATGAATCAAGAGGGTGTTCTGAAATCCACAGTAGCGTGAGGTATCATAGATTGACATCACTAAAATCAAGTTGTAATGGAAAACAATGTTCTTGACCGGTAACAATAATTGCTGTTCAACCTTAAGTCCTCTCGAAATACTATGTCAAAAATCTATTTACTTTGAGGATTATAGATATAAAATACAGATATGACATTTTTTCGATCAAGATATTATTTGAAAATCAAGTATGAACACACCGTTATACAGTTTCATAATACCACTGATATAATTTGGTTTGACTGAGGATGATACAGTTGGTTTTGGGTTTTAATTGCTTCTCAAATTAGAATCCACTCAAAATACCCTGTTAAAACTCTATTCATTCTTTACGTGCATATACTATATATAGATTAACATCACTAAAACCGTATATAGAAGTATCTACACAAGTTTTTGAAATAAACTACGAGTTCACGATGTGAATGATATAATGCGGTTCGACAAAGGCTGGAAAAGTGATTGGTGTTCAAAATTGAATCCGCTTGAACTATCACGTTAAAACTCTAAGCACGGATATTTGAGTTGTTAGGAAGAAAAGAAAGCAAAACTCTTGGAAGAATCACTTAAATATATTCAATTAAAAAATGTGTATATTATAAAAGAATGGTTACAAGCACCTCGGGAAGGTATGCAGATCAGACGTTAATTATAGCTTAGTGTTATGAAGTGATAAACAATAATCCAGTCAAGGCGTAGAGAGGAGTTTTGAAGAAATCTCGCAGTTAATAGAGAGTAAAAGTGCTCAAGTGCACTGACTCAACTAGCTTCAACATAAATAATAAAAATAATAAATAAATAATAAAAATTATAAATAAGTAATATAAAAATTATTAAATAAATAATAATAAAGAGGTGAAGTGCAACAACAAAAATTTATTTTATATTACTTTAATTAATTAACTTTTTTCTGACCATACAGCTATTTCGAGTATTGTCAAATACTTATCATCAGTGATTTTGAAAATATTTGTTGAATTTAATAATTCGTAAATAATTTTTTGAGTCTGCAAGTACCAAGGATTGAACTCGTGCCCTGCCAAATCTGAAGATCAGAGTCATCGTTCATTAGCCAACTGACACAAAGCCGTGCTTGACTTCTATACTCGCACATTTTTCTGGAGTTTTGTTAATTTGCTATAAAAGTTTTGGTTATTTGCTATTTTTAGTAATAAAAATATATTTTTATCTAAAAAATTTGATTTTGATCTGACAGTGAACGACACTGTATTGCAGCAGTTTTTAAAACTTATGTAGTAATATTTATTACAGATAAGTTCAGATATAATTGAAAATTTATTGATAAAAACATATAGTACGTAAACTTTAAAGTTCATATATTTTTTTTTAAATACTAATGTGGCGCAACTGTATAAAATTTTATTAAATATTTTTTATAACTTGAATAAATAGAAATAAAAATTTACCGATATTTTTAGTTAAATACTGTCTTTTAAGTTGATTGTAATTTATTTATTAAATTAAATATATAAAACTATATACTGAGGACTATGGTGTAATTGTTGTAAAATATATATATTAAATTTATTTAATGTATGAAGTATACAGAAAAAGATTCTAGGAACTATGCTGTTATTGGTGTGAAAAATCTATTTAAATATTTATTAAATTTTGCATATATTATATTTACATATATACATATATTTAATTCAATTAAATATATAAAAAGAGATTCTGGGGTCTTTGCTGTTATTGGTGTAAAAAATCTGTTTAAATATATATTAAATTTATTTATTGAATTAAATATATGAAACTATGTTCTGAGAACTATATTGTAATTGTTGTAAAAAATATATATATTAAATTTATTTAATGTTTGAAGTATTTGGAAAAAGGTTCTAGGAACTATGCTGTTATTGGTGTGAAAAATCTATTTAAATATTTATTAAATTTACATATATATTAAATCAAATATATAAAAATAAATTATGGGGTCTTTGCTGTTATTGGTGTAAAAAATCTCTTTAAATATATATTAAATTTATTTATTGAATTAAATTTATGAAACTATGTTCTGAGGACTATATTGTAATTGTTGTAAAAAAATATATATTAAATTTATTTAATGTTTGAAGTATTTGGAAAAAGGTTCTAGGAACTATGCTGTTATTGGTGTGAAAAATCTATTTAAATATTTATTAAATTTACATATATATTAAATCAAATATATAAAAATAAATTATGGGGTCTTTGCTGTTATTGGTGTAAAAAATCTCTTTAAATATATATTAAATTTATTTATTGAATTAAATTTATGAAACTATGTTCTGAGGACTATATTGTAATTGTTGTAAAAAAATATATATTAAATTTATTTAATGTTTGAAGTATTTGGAAAAAGGTTCTAGGAACTATGCTGTTATTGGTGTGAAAAATCTCTTTAAATATATATATAATTTATTTATAGAATTAAATATATAAAATAAAGAGTTACTGCAGACTATGCTGTTAGAATATTTAGTTATAATTTGATTCTTTATTATTAGATTGTTATAGAACTTTTATTAATTTAATGAGAAATGAAGTGAATATATATTTTAAATTTTATTTTCAAGAGTTTAATGACTTTAAAAGGTATTAAAGTTCAAGTTTATAAATAAGTAACCCGTAACAAAAAAGTATAAAGTAATGGAGTTATTATAGAAGAAATATTTCTGAAATACTCGTACTTATAAAAATTGCAACTATTTGAAGTACAAATCAATTAACAGTTTGAAATTTTTGTCACCAAAGAAAATAAATTTTGCAAATCACACATTATTAGAATTATTAAAGCAATTTAGACAAACAAATTGTTGTTCCGTAATAGCGAAGAAGTCAACAGCCCATAACAGATGACGTTTAACAGCTTAAGCCCGGGCTGTAAAAACCCCGGTTTGCGCGCGCTTCAAATCATTTTAGTATGCAAAACGTCAACTGCCAAAAAGTTTTTAAAAATTTCGTTGAAGAATTCATGGTGGAGGAGAAGGAGGAGTGTGCGAAAATTCATTAGTTCATCATTAGTTTGCTTTGCTGAAAGTTACAATTATTCTGAGCACTCAATGAACACACGAACGAACGAACGCTACCGGAGGGTCTAAAGCACCTCACTAACCACTTTAAAGACACCATTTAATCATTTTTGTCACATTTTTTTGATGTTATCTCTTCGGAATTAATATAATTTATAGCCCATATATTAAATGGTTTAATTGAGCAGTAAGCAAATTTAATATCTTAACTTAAAGCAGTTATGAGTTTCATTATTAACAGATTTGTCTATTTGTTTAAGAGTGCGACAATATCTAATTTTTCTATCTCTCACCTTTAAATTAAAATTGTCCACTTAATTATACTCAATAATTTGTTTTGACAATTGCTTCACCTCTCCGAAGTTGCCAAAAAGGCTTTCGCTTTGCTTGAAGTCAGTGTTGAAACGGACGTGGTGCGAAACATATTCTCAGCTAGAGAACCCGGTAGGAGCTTGAATTGAAATCGCAGTAAATAGAGCAAAATTATTTTTAACTTTCAATTCAGTTTGTGAAAAATTGATTTGTGTTTTTCCCACTTCTGCCGTTGCATTTATCGTTCATAAATTAACACCAATTTGGTAATATAATTTGTTTATTTATTTTTTTTTCCTCTCCTACTCTAGTTGGTTAAAATAAATATTGACTTTAGTCGCTTTTGTGAACTTTCATTGAGTCACTCACTCACTGTCCATTGTTTGGGTGGTGGATAATGCTAATCTCGAACGCCAAGTTAACAACATGTGCTATATACTATATATTGTATAGTCCCAATGGGTGTACTCTGCCAAATAAATGGAGGAAAAACCAATAATTATTATTTAAGAATTTGTACAAGTTAAGTTCTAACTTCTATTTTTTTTTGTTTTTTTTTTTGAAGAATAAAAATATTTATAAATGCATAACTAAAATCGTACTTTTTGATGTGCCTAATACTACCTGATATACTACAATATATCAAATACCATGTCAACTCCTTTCTATTAGTGCTTATAGAGTGTCGTTTGCAATATAAATTCGGCGACGGTTGTTAAAAGAAAATATTTTTTAAAATATCTTAAGTAATTATAATAAATACTATTGTAACAATAAACTGTTAGTGCAAATATAAAGTGAGAATCAATTAATAATTTATTTGAAATTAACACTTTGTTATAAAGAACATGCGTATTTGCTAAAATCGACGTCATAGGTCCATTAAAATCCATTTAAATTCAAAATGCATACTCAAATAAATTTGTTAAACAATATAATATTTAATATAAATGAAGTGTAAAATATTTAAATATATATTCTATAAGTGTAAACATTTTATAAGCTCACGTCACTACTACAAACTTTTATAAACCCACATTGGTCACTTGGATACCAAAAAAAAGTACATATTCAGTAGAAGTAGAAATACGTATATGTTACGTAGCTGTTATAGAGTGGTGTCTCTAATTTATATACGGGTGCTCTATATATTTTTTATTATTATCATTAAAAGAAGGGATAGTACACTGCGACCTAAAAGATCTATTATGTCCCTAAGTTGGATTAGAGTGCTTCTCCAAGTCCGATTTCTTTAATGAAAGACAGTATAAAGCGTATCTTTTTTAGTTTTTATGATCCATTAAATACCTTCCTAGGTGTTTCTTCCACTTGTGCATCAGTGCCGGGCATTTCCCAAGCACATGGTATGCAGTTTCTCTGCAATCTGAGTTGGATTGAATTCCTAACGTCGATAGGTGATTATTTAATCTACAGTGCCCGATCAATACATATATATAAATATATACATATACATTATATATAAATAATATGTATACTGTATTAGTTGAGTGATAATTATATATGGTCTCCAAATGCATCTGACTTCATTCACAGTTCCTTAAAAATTGAAAAAGTATAAGTACCATATTTGATTGCAGCTCCAATAATGCAATAAGTGAATTGAAATATTGCAACGGTCTTAATAGCAAGAACTTGTTTGCTAAGCGTGTTAAAGGTATTGCAAGGATATTCTATATGATTGTATTATATATATAGTTTTTATAAAGTGCTCTGAATAAAAGATCCATTGTATTTTTTTCTACAACTATCAAATAACTCCATTAAATCTTAGATTCGTTTCCCTCAAGTACGCACGAATGTCGAATTTAGCATTGATAATTCCTTGCCAGGTATTTACTGTGTTCTCAGGTATTTTTGTATTTTGTGCATTATTGAGTCGAATTTTCCTAATTTGTGTTCTTGGGACTTAGTTCTTTAAATTTATTGTGCTCGGTCAATAACCCAGTTAACATTCTTAACATTATGTTATAAGATTATTATAACACATGTTGGTATTAGCGATCCTTATAGAATTTTAAAGTGCCTTAAACTTGTAAGACTCTTCTAGTTTTATTAATTCTTTAGCACTTCGTTTTAAACTTCTACATTGAGTATTTCTTTCTATGGATTATGTATTTTTAGTTAATTTAAATATATCTATCCTAGAGGAAACTTTCCGTGAATTCAAAATCATTTTGGATAAATTTAAAATCTCAACTTCTACAAAGAGATTTAGAGAATAAAAAATAAAACACTTAAATTTATAAATTTATTTGCTAACTAATCTCAAAACGTTTGTGAAAAAGTGAATATGCTTATTTTGGATCAGATAACAAATGATTGGCTATAGGAGCGAGATTTGAAATTAAATAAATAAAAAGATCCGGATAAATCCTTTGAATAACACTCCTGTCGCAAATATTTGAAAAGGGTGTAAAAGTTAACAGTTTTTGAAAAATTATTTTTTTCCCAATTTGTATTTTACAATGTTTATCATAGTTACTATATATTAGTCATATTATGCCGATTCGTAGTGAGGCAAAAAACTACAACTCCCTCTATTTAGTTTCCTTGCTGCATTTAATAAAATCACAGAAAGAGAGTGTTTCATCATTATTCATTCTCCGGACACCAGAATACAGCTGTTGCAATCTACTTCTTCCAAATGTTGGGATATAACAGAATAAATGAAACTTTATCTAGTTTTCTTGCTGATTCTTGCTGTATCGGTTATGCTCCTGGACATTATAACCCCATAATCTCAATTCAGTTCGTCCAATAACTAGGCAATAGTAAAGGAAATGGTCTCTATTATTGACATCGTCGAGACAAAATTGACATGTCACAGTGGTAACCATCTGTTCTATGTCCTGTTATGATCCCGATTAAAATATATAAATATATTTTTGCCAGTTTTTTGTCAGGTTTTACAAATTTTTTTTTTGACCAATGCAGATGCTTATGTATATTCTGAACCCTTTGTTCTCGATAATTTAACTAAACGTTTTATGATATATGCTTAGAAGGCTTTCAAAATAAATAAGTGAGCTATATTTAATCTGCACATTTTTTTTTGTTGAATATATTTCTTAGTATATTAATGAATACTTCTTTAGGAAAGTTATTCAAATCCACCCATCTGCTTGTTATATATTTGGCTATGCAAATATGGAAAACTAGACTTGGAGTGCAAAAGAGAAATATGTCTTCTTCTTTAAAAAAAAAGAATTATTAATTTTAACACCACAATTTAAAATACCTATTATCACGACTTTCAGTTTTCAAACTTCTGAAACCTTTTTATATTATAATTCTTATATAATATGTAATTTAATTTATTTAATATATAAAATCTGTAAGAATACCTGATCGTTAAGTAAAATTTCTGCCTTGCTAAAATTACATTGAGGTAGGATTTGTTTAAGAACAACTTTTTAATATTATATATATATATATATAATTCCAAAGGGTTTTGAAATTAGCAACCTCGACTTTATTTATGTACAATATATTTATATATTTATTTATATTAGGTATGTATTTGAACAAATTTATATATATGTCTCTATTACTATAGGATATATATATATCCTCTCGACTATGATTTCATAATTTTTTAAAAAATACCAAATATTAAACAAATTAATGAATTTTGTATATATTCTTTTCAGTTGAGTTTTAGAACATGCACCAATAGTTGATAATGAGATCTCACAGAATACTTTTTTCATCCATAATACTTTTCTGTATAACTACTATTAAAGGAAATTTTTTAAGTAAGTAATTATCAAAATTATGTTTATTAAATTATTCTTAATCCTTTTAATAATTATGAAAACATATTTTTTAAAGCCTACGAAAATGCCCGTCGAGCTGTCATTCAAGCAGAAGATTTATTGACCACTGGTGGTCGTATTCAATTAAATGATAAAGAAATTAAAGTGAATGAATTGTTTATGAAGTATAAATTAGAAGAGCTGGCTAAAGGATATCGTAATCCTGATGTTAATGCAGCAGGCCTGCATTTCTTCAAAGCCAAACCATTAATTGAACACAGTAAGGTGACTATCTAACAATTCTACTGTCAATGATCTATATTCTATTAAGTAAAAAAATTCTTAGGTATTTCAATTTTTACGTCGTATGCCCAAAGGTGCTACTTTGCACATGCATAATTCTGCATCTGTCTCGTCAGAGTGGGTCGTGCGCAATATATCATATATGCCTGGTCTGTTACGATGCACGAATAAGGATGGTGTTAGTGTGTTATCGTTTCGACGCTCTTTGGATCTTGGCTGTGAGACTCAATCTGTGTATGTTGCAGAAGAGCGTTTACGTTCCATAAGCCCAATGGCATACGATCGCAATTTGGAAAAATTAATCAATTTATATACACCCGTGCCAGAGAGTAAGTCGCTAGTGGATTTAATATTTTACTTATGGCACACATTTGCTTTTGCTTACAATGCATAATTTAATTTGTAGTTGAATATCCGACAATTGGAAAAGTTTGGACCAAATTTCAAAATATGTTCACAACCCTGAATGATGTGCTGAGATATTTGCCAGCTTATCGTGCCTACCATTGGCAGATGCTTGAAGAACTGTATAATGACAATATTATGTATGCAGAAATACGCATGGACTTTAAAGAAGTAAATACATAATTTTGTTTAATTTTAATTGGAAAAGTTTTGAAATTAATTATTTCTGTTTTTAAAGTTATATGACTACAGTGGTCGCACATTTGCACCAGAACGCGGTGTAAAGGAGTTGCTTAATGTCATAGAACAGTTTCGTTATCAACATCCAAGATTTCTTGGTATTAAAATTATATACTCAACAAATAGGAACGTAGATCGCAATAGAATGCGGGAACAATTTGATAAATTTAAGCAGCTTCAGTAAGTTAAAGTTCTCTCAATTCTAAATCCATCTAAAAAACCTGTTACCATTTTTTTTTTATTTTAGTTCAGCTTATTCAAACTTCATAGTTGGTTTTGATTTAGTGGGTCAGGAGGATAAGGGAAAACCATTATATACATTTGTTCAGTCACTAACTAATTTACCACCTACTGCGCGTTATTTCTTTCATGCTGGAGAGACAAGTATATTGGTGTGCACATGCCTATTTTAATAATATATAACATTTTAATATATTTCATTAGATTGGTATGGTGCTTCTACAGATTTTAATTTGCTCGACGCTATACTAATGAATACTACACGCATTGGACATGGGTATGCACTCATGAAACATCCAGTACTTTGGAATTCGGTTAAGACCCGTGATATTGCGATCGAAGTAAGCCCAATTTCCAATCAAGTTTTGCATTTAGTTTGGGATTTGCGAAATCATCCTGGTGGCTTCTTTATGTCACAAAATATACCTATGGTTGTTTGTAATGATGATCCCGGTTTTTGGAGTACAAAAGGTCTTAGCTATGATTTTTATTACGCTATTATGAGTTTAGCACCAAATAATTCTGGTCTAAAAACACTTAAAAATCTTGTTTGGAATTCGATACGTTATTCGGTTTTGAATACGTTTGAACGTAAAGCTGCTTTTGCGAATTTGGAACGCGACTGGAACAATTTTTTGGAAGATGTTTTGAAAGGACTTGTATTTTGAGTGTTTACAATATGGAAATCAATTATATTAATTTTGTACCAAAGACAACAGTTTATAAGATGAATATATATAATTTAAAAAAATGGTTTTTATATAAAAAGTTATTCAAATTTTTTTTAAAAATTCTACTAATGGAAAGGAATTGCTTGGTTGTTTAGTTACAGTGGTTAATAATTGGCGATTATACTTCACGTTTCTCGCAAGAAGCTATTGTAGATAAACTCGATCCATCAATTTGTTTTTTGAATAATTTAATTTATTATTAATATATCTAATGGCATTTTCGATTTGTAAATCTGGGATAATTTTTCAATCTAGATGCCGTTTTAATGCACTTTTAGTACAATTTTTATTTTTGATTGGTAAATCTGGAGTAAAATGTATAACACTCTAGATATGTTAATATAATACTCTAGAGTAGCAAGATTACTTTGACAGATAAACTCTTATTTGTACTTCTCTGATTTGTACCTCTTGTATATATCATATTAAAACAGTTTATTTGAAATTAAATTAAGTTAGCAAAGCTACTGATAAAAAGAACTACCCGAAAAGTGTGTTGATGACTGACTTAGAATGTGTTTAGTATGCAATCTAGAAAGCAATCCAGAATGCATTCTAAAATTCATATTTAAATAAAGTATTAAGGTCAGATGTTCTTCAATGATATTACACCTTTGCTGATTACATCTAGGTGGTCAAATCATAATCAATTCAGGATATTTTGTATATTCCCTATAAGTAGCAGAACAATACTTTGATATCGCTGACAAAACCATTGCATATTGTCACGAGCAGGAAAATGTCTCTATGAATGACACCTTGAATGGCTTCTCTCTGAATGGCTTCTAAAATTCATTTAACATTTGAACAAAGAGTATTTGTATACCGTTATCCCACACGAAGTACCGTAACGTCTTCTAAATTGGTCAGGATAATGTTACGGTTGTTTTGAACAAATTTCCAATCGGAAATTACAGATGGTTAACTATTAATTCACAATATCATAATAATTAATTAGCTTTGGTTTTCCTTAGCAGTTATCTTTATTTATCTTAATACTTTGCGGCGTAATATTCTTAAGATATGTACTAATGGAAACTAACGCTAATTGGTTATGATGATACTATAAACTGATAGACTGACAATGTTGTATACTAAATTCTACTTTTTGGTTTAGCAAAGGTTTTGGATTTATTGGAGGCTGAACTGCAATTGCAGTCCGGTTTTTTCTTAATATCTGAGACTTTGACAATAATAGGTAAAAACTGAAAAATAAGGGTATGAAAGGGTTTTAATTTTATTATTATTTATTTTAAAATTTTTATTTTAAAAGATAATTGTTTGTAGCCTTTAGCAGATTTAGTATGAATAAAAAAATGATAATCATTTTTTCCTTTAACATCCTTTTCCAAATTCCATCTCAAAAGGAAGGATTATTTAAGCATTTCTTAATGGATGATTTCAAAATATATTTAAAAAATCGGTTTTTGAGTGGAGAGAAGAAGATTTTAAGAAAGAATGTTTAAGGTCCAAATATCTCTCTAGCACTCTTCTTCCAGCTTTCATAATTGACAATTGATTCAAGCGGACATCTGTTTATAGAGAAATGGACCTAATGATAATGGCATAATGGTAAACAAATTCTATAACAAAAAATTCTTTTAACGAAATTATTCATTAATTTGTGTGAAGAGTGTTGATGTTTCGGCAAAGCCAAAGCTAGTTTTTATCTGGTTTTCTTAATTAGAATTTTTGGTTCGGTTCTTTGTTTTTTTAATAAAAAATGTTTATTTAATTAAATTTGTAATGTTTTTCTCAAAGTGTCTTTAGTTATATATTTGCGCTTGAGAAAACAACACGGTTTTGTGCTTAAATAAAATTTTAAATTATAAAATATTTTATAAAATATTTAATTTATATATTTATTTATATAAATTAATTTATTTTGAATTTTATTCCATAAAAAAATTTTTTTTAATTTTAAATATGAAAGATTAATGTCAGTGTAATAATTAAAGTTATACTATAAAGAAAAATTTTTTATAATTCATGTAAAAAAATTTACCTCACCGGAGTACTAATTTTGAAAAATATACTATATATGTATATGTTTTATATATAAAATAATAATTATATGTCAATTCTTAAGTGTTAAAAGGAATATTCTAATAATAAACTTCTATAAGTTCTATAAATGTAAGAACCAGCTTAAAATAATATAATACATTATATAATAAATATTTTTCAATTTTGTTCAATGCAATTCAATTATAATTTGTTAGTACAGTTAACAATTTAGTTTAAAATTAAATTTAATTAATTAATAATTTAATTTAAATTTAATTTATTTTTTTTCATATTTTTTAATCAATTCGCTTGCAAAAAAAAGTATACAAACGGATGTGAAATATTGCTTTTAGAAATTATAAAAATTAATAAGAAATATTGTTTTCTAAAAATAAAAAAATATGGAAAATTGTTTATTTTAGGGACTCGCCAAATAAAAAAAATTGGTTAACAATATTTTAATGTTAATTAAAAATTTATTTATTTATTATAATAAATTATTTTAATTTAATTAATTTATTTATTTAGTTTTTCATTAAAATTTTAAATTTATATAAATTATAGAAGATATAATAATTAATTGTAAATATTGAATTATTAACAATTTTGCCCCAGGTAAAGAAAAGGAAAACAGCTCACTTATATTTTAATCAAGTGAAAATTATTTAATACATTTTTTTATTAATTATTCCATTAATAATTTGTAAAATTATTAATTAAAATTTTAAGTATTTTTCAAACTAGTACAAAATCATTTCAAAAAAATTTTTCTTTTCCCAAGTAGTTACAGGAAGCATTTAAAAAAATGGTTCATAAAATAAAATTCACAGAGGGTCCTTGGGCTATACATTTCTGTCGAGTGTAACGCCTTTCATAATAATTATTTTGGAGGGGAGAAACTAAATATTAAAGAATAAATTAACTATTGTTCTTTTATTTGAAATTCCTGGTTATATTTTATATATATACAAAAAAAAAAATACATACATATATATACATATGTTTTAAAAATCCTGGTTATATGTATATGGTTATGAACATGACGTATAACTATGGGTTAAATATTAAAAAATTCAGAACTTACAAATTTATGTGAAATAATTATATAATTTTTAAAAATTGTGATTAAAAAAGAAGCAAACTTTAAGGATTATAGAAATTGATGTGTTCAGAATTCTTTTATACAAAGTATTTCATGTTAGAAAAAATTATTATACATAAATTTGATTAAAACTTTTAAAGTGCTTTAATATCATAAAAAAATTTTTGTTTAAATTAATATTAAACCATAAAGAAAAATAGTTTTAATGTGGTATAAAAGTTCAATAGCATATAAAATTTTATAAAAGATACATAATGTTTACCAGATTTTTATTAAAGATATTTTTTTTTTGCTTCGAGTTCTCTGAAATAATCTGCATATCTGTTTGTACTTAATTGTGGCTCCTATCCTCCACAACTACTCATTAAATTTACTACACATTTGAAGTAAGAAACTACTTCCGGATATCGTACATTATGCTACGTAAAATAGTATTATTTATAAATGTATATGTATATATGACTACACGTATTACTGATTGGTCTTCACGATTTTTTGCGTATTTTATGCGAAGGAAAATTCTAAACCATAATATATATACTTATATCTTAAAATATTATTTCAGTTTTATAAACTTTTGATCTAACATAAATTAATTTGAAAATTTGTCTATTAATGAGAATATAAGTATTTTAGAATGTTATTTTTTTATTACTTTATTATTTTTATATTTTATTTTTATTTTTATAAATTAGAAGACATAGCATCATAGTAATGCTTTTCCAAATTATTGAAGTACTCATCAAAATAAAATTTTCTTTTTTATTAGATTCTTGCGGTTTTAAGAATTTTGCTAATTTGTTTATCAATTAACATACTTAAAAAAAAATCTCTAAACAGATGTTTAAAATTAGATCTAATTATTACGTTGCTTGAGTTTGTTTAATTAGTAATAAATTTGTCGATAATAATTTATTTATTTATTTTAACTACACTGTTTCCTCCTTGCTCTTAATTTATTCATTTTAAAAATACATTTAAAAATTTTGTTTCTAACTAAAATATGGTTTGTATTTTAAACTTAATTAAAAATAAAATTGTTAAAACATTATATAACTACAAAAGGTATTAGAGCAAGTCAATATAATATGTCAATATAATGTTCTCTTCACTACACGGTAATAGGATTGTTACGATATTTACATATATTTTTAAGTCATCTCTAAATTATTTGATAAAAATAAATTTAGAGATGCATTTATTAAATAATTTTTTTAATAAGATTAAAATATAATTACTTGTATTTAATTTTAATTAATAGAAAGAAGAGTGTGACTTTTAGTATAGTTTTTTTGATAAACGTTCTATATAAAAACTTCGTTTGTTCCGGCTACTAAATATCTATTTTATATGAGTTATTATACAAATGATGATTTTAACTATTATATATTATTTAATATATGATATTAGTATCATATTTGTTTGTACAACAATTTTAGTTATACTAAAATTATTTATGTTCTCCCGACAAATTTCTTTGATTCTCAAAGTCACTGTAAGGAATTGGAAATTCAATTTTTTTAGTTTATTTATTTTTTATAATCAAACAAAATAATCAATTTTATAATCAATAATCAATCATTTATCATTTACAAAATGAATTAAGTCAAAACATCCAAAATATCGCACTGTGTATTGAATTAAACTAAAATAAAGTAAACAAACCCTTTCATTCCACTTATGCAAGCAATTAGTGCTCAATTCATCTCAAATATATAGAGTTTTTTTATTGTATGAGGTTTTAGTAATACAATTTAGTAGAAGTACAATTTGAAGAATAACTTGTATAAAGGAATATCTAGTTGAATGAATTTTCACATAAAAAATTACATTTGCTGATATGTCTACCGTCTACAAATACCAATACCGACTCTTCTAG